GTGCGAAGTGCTGAAAGTGGACAGAAGAGAGACTGTTCAGGGCTTTCGCGAATACAAGGAAACCAGGGCATCCCGTACACCTGCTGCCATGGAGTCTCTACTGAAAGCAGTCCGAACCATCGCTGTCTCCACTAGTGAGTGTGAGCGGGCATTCAGCTGCATGAACGATATCCTTACTGCAAAAAGGAATGCTCTCTCTGTCAGCCGACTGTCCAGCCTGGTTTTCATTAAATGTAATGGACCATCACTAGGACAGTTCAATCCGGAACAGTATGTGAGGTCCTGGCTGGCAAAGGGAAGGAGAAGTGCTGATGAAAGAGCCTGTCCAGCTCCAGCCCCTGATACTGATGTCCCCAAGGCCTTCTGGAGCCTTTTCTAACAATGTGAAGTATATTGCAAAGCAGCTCACCCAGTGAGAAGACTTTTGGCATAATGTGCCGATTTGTACAGATCCTGGAGATAGAAGGACTTCAGACCAACCAGGGAGTTATCTGATCAGCTTGGTGTTCAATGTAACTCTTTACCATGGCTCAGACTTTGTTACTTGCAGTTACAGTTTCTCATTTTAGATTGTGCAAATTTTGCATTTGTTTTTACATGTTCTTTGTTCATGCTCTTTATCATTTTTCTGAGTTGGAAAGTTAGATTGCATCATAGTTTACTTTATACATATTTGTATTCTTCAGTGGTGAAGTATATTGCAAAGCAGCTCAGCCATGTGAGAAGACTTTTGGCACTTTTTCGTTTTTCGTTTTCTGAGTTGGAAAGTTAGATTGCATTCAAAATGTACAGAAATACTTAATTTTGTTAAAGCTTTTTATAAAAAATGCTTCTGACCAGAGCTTTGTTTCCTTGTCATTAATGTTGAACACCACCAGAGGGGCTCTCACCTGAAAGGTCTCTGCTTCATGTGTCTTCAGCAGAAGATCTAGACTTTGATTGCTATATTTTCAGTTAATATTGACCTTACTGAGCTTTAGCCATATCCACTGCCTATCATAAAAAATGTTAAGTACAGTGAACCTTTCTAAAATATACAGTAGTAAAGAGACAAACCCACCAGCATTATAGTAGCCAAATTCTTGTTTGTGGGCTGTATATATAAAATTGACTTGAAAAAGTTGCTGATTTTAGAGTACTGGCACCTTTTTAATTCCAATTCAAGCACTGCTCCGAGTGGGAGGATGATTATGTTTGTATCTATTCCAATTCAAAGTCCATCTGTCTCATCTGCAATGCGAGCGTGGCTTTATCGAAGAAGGGTAATTTAGGAGCGGCATTTCAAAACAGTGCACAAACGCTACGAGACGGAATTCCCTCCTAATTCTGCCCTACGCTCCAAAAGGGGAGGGGCCTGAAAGGACGGCTAAATGCACAGCAGTCCATTTTCACCAGGCCCAACAACAAGAGCAAGGCTGCTACCATAGCATCTTATCGTGTCACGCACGTTCTTGCGAAACACATGAAGTCTTTCAAAGATGGCGAAGTTGTGAAAGAAGCATTCCTGGAGGCTGCCGATGCGTAATAAAAATAACAGTAGCATTTCAACAGGTTTTTTATATGATAAAAACTCAAGTTAGATACCGTTATTAATCAGCTGTAAGTTTGAGTTTGTTTGAACTTATTCATTATAATTATTGTACAAAATGGTATAATAATGCAAACTTAAATTGATTATAATCTATCAATTCAGGTTAAGAAACTAGTGTTGCTTGCATCCTATTTTAAAGGCATTTATTTGTATACTCTACTAAAATGCAACAAAAAAAGGGTTTGATTCTATTAATTTAGTCTTTTTTATTGCACTGTTGCAGCAGATTCCTGAGTAGATTCAGATCTGAGTTGTCTTATTAGTAAGCCTAATTTATACTTTTGTAGCAACACTAATTTTATATAAGGACAAAGAAAGGGTTCAGAGTCTTATCTTTTGTTCCTGTGTCATATGTGGCAGCACTGTTCAATGTTTCTTGAAAACATTACCCACTGTAGTGACGTGTGAATAAACTCCAACTCTGTATCAACAACACTGTTGTGTAACTTCAGTTAAATACTTGTATGTGTGTAGAATAGAAAGAGGTAAAATAAAGGATCTGCAGTATTTTATGGAGTATTAATCGTACAAAGGTCAGATTTATACAAGAAGAAGTGTGTATTTACCTGGTAGTAGGCTGTCAGTAATGGCTACGCCTCTCTATTTGGACTGGTAGATCTCGGCAGACTGGCAACTTTAAAAGTAGCTCTCGGTTCAAAAAAGGTTGGGCACCCCTGGTCCAGAATGAAGAACTGCATACGTCACGCTTACGTCGAACGGGGGCGAGATCAACCTGAGCAACAGTTTATGGCGAGAACGGCAAATAAAAGTTCTGTCAAGCAGTAGCGCTGAGCAAAGTGACTAGAACGCAACCACACACTTGTAAAAAAACACACTCTATAAAGTCAGGCAACTCTAACCACTGCCAGGCTTAGTGTGATTCTGTTTATTTGTACCTTACTTTGACCATCCGTTCGCTGTTATTGATCATTGTGGAGAGCAGACAGACGTTTTGTTTTGTATTATAGCAGCTATCAGATGGAATCAATACATGTCCGTCTATCACAAGTAGAATCACAATGAAAAATACGACAGTAAAATGTGCCTGTAGAAAACGGCTTATGCTACAATAGGATAGCAACAAGTAGTCAAAACAGTCAGTTTAGCTTTGCTATGCTAACATCACCCATTTACCAGATTAACTTTCATAACAGCGTTGTGATGCCAAACAGCGGGCAGCACTGCATCAGTCGGTAAATGCAGCTGAAACACATTAATAAATAATGAACCACGGCACTCTGGAGAAAAGCATAAGGGTTGAGAAGTAGTTATTTTATTTAATCTGGCTTTGTATGATTTAAAGCAACACGACCATCGACCCGACGCAGTGCCCCATTGTTGTTGTTGTTGTGAGCGCCGTTGGGGAGAAAATCAGCGACGTGAATGGTGACGTTGTGACGCAGCACCAGTCGGGCTCTGGGCGGTGTGAACAAAACGGGGGCTGAAAATAAAAACCGGTTCCGAACCAGAAGAGCGCAAGCACGGAGCTAGAACGGGAACCGCGTTGTTGTGAAAGGGGCAACAGGGTCATTATGTCACCTAATGGGCATTTTTGGTTCTTCTAGTACATTTAGCTGATAACGCTACTGGAATATTTTCTTGAATAAAAATGATAAATGTAAGCCTTACAGTATTATTTCCCTTTCATCTTGAACCACTGTTTGCCAGCCACATGAGGGTGCTGTATTTCAAGGATTTAAATCAAAGTTGACCTTTCTCTGCTTCACAGCATCTGAGCTTAACTGCCACATCCTGTCATGAACAGAGACTGAGAGCTACAGTTCAAAGTGCTAACCACAGTCTGCAGGTTTTTGTGAACTTTAGAAGAACAAGGTGCATTTCTTGTAAATTCTGAAGGGAGGGGGGAGCAGGGTTTATTGATAGCAGTTATCTAAAAGTGAAAGGAAAATAAAGTCTAATGACGAATGTAAGGGTGTCAATAATTTGAGTCCCTGAATAAGAGGTTGAATAGAATCATATCACATGAACGTGAAAGCCTAGACGGGAAAGAAAAGGAAGTAAATAAATTGTTGTGGCGATCCAGCACAACACAACAGGAAATAATGAAACAGAGAGGAATCAATAAAACACAAACACAGATATAGCTGATCAGTAATTATTATTTAGTTGTTGCAACAAACAAACAATAATGGGAAGTACATCACCTGCTGCCACAGCCGCCAATCGCGGAAATGCCCCCCGACAGTAGCAGTAATCATACAGCATATAGCCACTGCAATAAACACACACATATTTTCCCTAAGCATGTTTAACGCACACACATTTTATCATGCAGCCTACCACACAAATGTGACATGTTTGTCTCTCTGAAAGCTATACTTGTATATGTTTAAACGTCATGGTCTCATGCAGAGGCGCGGGAAGGTATTTTGAGTGGGGGTGCTGAGGTGCTGGACTCCAGTGAACACTATTACGGGCACTATAGAGCACGAACAAAAGCACTCTCCACACGCAAACACACAGTGAGTACACCCGCGACAATGAAGGCTCGATAATCAGCTCACGGCATATAGGCAGGGGTAAAGTGCTATTTTTTACAAGTGGGGAGCGGACCTCACCTCCTCTGGGGGTCCGGGGGGATGTTCCCCCGGGAAGATTTTTTTAAAATATTGAAGTTAAAAGCATCAATCTGGTGCACTTTGAGAGCAACATGAAGAGATCTATGGATACATCTCTCAGCACCCAGATGAAACACAACTGTAAGCAGATGTTCTTTTTCTTTATGGATATTTTACAAATCACTCCCCTTTTTTATAACTATAATGATCATATGAAGGTGTGCCGCGGAAATAATCTTTTGAATAATTTGTGACCAAACCGTTTGAGACCCACTGAGATAACTTAGACTAAAGTTAACCATCTAAACCAGGGGTCCCCAAACTTTTTCCTGTGAGGGCCACATAACTTTTCCCTTCTCTGATGGGGGCCGGGGTCAGTTTGTAACAGAAAAAGTGTGACGATCGCAGGAGTGTCTAAACGTAAACATTTATTGTGTTCTAGAAAGCCACACATAACCAAATATTAATAACCCTTTCCGGGATCTTCACAGAAAAAAAAGTCAGGAAATAAGTAATAACAGAATTAATGAAATAAATAACACTATTTATGAAATGAATAATAACCAAATAACCCTCTCTGGGTTCTTCACAGAAAAAAATAAAGTCTGGAAATATATAATAACACTATTTATGAAATAAATAATAACCAAATAACCCTCTATGGGTTCTTCACAGAAAAAAAGTCCATTGAACATTAACTTTCTGTTGTGCCGTGCACAATCTTAACAGGTACAAGTTTAGCTTAGTTGTCAGAGCAGAATCTCTTACTCAAATGACTCATGAGCAGTCTCTCAAAGTTCTTGTGTTCCTTCCTTATAATCCTTGTGTAGGTTACAGTAGTCTTGTAGACACCGTGTTTGCAGCTCTCTCTCATCAACTTCCCTGTGAAAACCACAAAGCAAGCAGGCTGAGAAACCGAACTAAGTGATACAGCACCTAAACAGCACAATACATTTCACTACCAGTATGGTTGTGGAGATGGATTTTATCGCAGTAGATTTTATTATGATTACATTTGTTTATACTCAGAATGACTCATTCAAGTCAGAAAAGTGAGCTTACCTATGTAAGTTCATCAGTGTGAACCGTGGGCCTGCATCTGGCTGGTGAGAAGTTAAATGTCAGGTTCTATTCTAGTCACAGCCAGTCTCAAACACTGATGCAGATGTTCATCTGTCAATCTTGATCTCATCGGAGTTTTCAGGTGTTTCATGTGTGAAAAGGTTTGCTCGCAGATATACGTGCTGCCAAAAAGTGTAAACATCTTCATTGCGTGTTTTTTTATGTTAGGGTATGTGTCGTTTGGGAGGGCGGCATAGAAGTCAATGAGACTGTTGGGCTTGAATGCGTCTTTCAGAACATCACAGTTCTGTAACTCGGTCAACTCAAACTGATAAGAAGGCTGGGCTTCATCGATGTCGGCAAGAAAGGGGTTCTGGAAAAGACGGATTTATTTTGCATTAACATGTAGTATCCGGAATCGCACACCGAACTCCGCCTTCAGCATTTCCAGTGCTTCCACACACTTTTCAGCTGGGAACGGGACCGCTGGGTTCTCTACAGAGAGCTTTTGGGTAGCAGGGAGATGGATGAAGTTGTGCTTTTTCACTTGTTCCAAAAGCAGCGCAAGTTTCACCTCAAATGCTTTTATGTGAGAATACATGTCGCAAATGAGTTTCCCCTGGCCTTGTAGCTGCAAGTTAAGGCTGTTCAGCATTTCTGTCACGTCTGTTAAAAATGCGAGGTGCCATTTCCATTCTGGGTCGATCAGCTCTGGGACCGTTTTGTCTTTTGATTGAAGAAATGCGTTAATTTCGGGTAGCAGCTCGTAAAAACGCCTCAAAACTCTGCCCCGGCTCAACCATCGGACCTCTGTGTAGTACAGCACATCGCCGTGCGCAGACACCACAACCTTCATGACAGAATCCCACTTCAACACTTTGCAGCACAGTGCTTGCTGGTGAATTAGGCAGTGGACTTGTAGCGGGGCGGTGAGACCCCGTTCTTCCATCTCCCGGTTCATGCGTCCTATTAGACCCCGAGACGCGCCCACCATACTAGGAGCCCCGTCAGTCCTGATGCTGGCAAGCTTTGACCAGTCTAGGTCCAACTCTTCCATGGTTTGGCATACTTTGCCGAAAATATCCTCCCCCGTTGTAGTCCCTTTGAGACTTTGGAGGGCTGCCAGCTCCTCGCACATCTCAAAGTTTGAGCTAATTCCACGAATAAAAATGAGCAGCTGCGCTGTGTCTTGCACATCCGTGCTCTCATCCAGTGCTAATGAAAAAAAGTCAAATTATTTTGTCTTCTGCTGCAGCTGGGCATATACATTACCCCCGATTTCTTCAATGCGTCTGGTGATTGTACTCGCCGACAGACTCATGGTATTAAAGACATCTTTCTTCTCGGGACACAGCTCTTCCGCGACAGCATTCAAACATTTCTTGACAAACTCTCCATCAGTGAAAGATTTACCGCTACTTGCTATCAGTTGAGCAACCCGAAAGCTGGCCCGAACGGATGACTGGTTCAGCTGAGCTTGGCGTACAAATGTATTCTGCTGATCTAACAGTCCACTTTTTAGCTTTGAGAGTTTGTCTGCTCGCATTTGGCCTTGCAAGTTATCATTGTAGAGGAAACTTCTGTGTAGCTATGCAGTGGGAGTCACCGACTCAGGAAGGAGACACGGTAGGAGCAGTAGCTTTGATGTCAAACACTGGTGGTTTATTTGGAGTTACGGCCGGAGGATTCACATCACAAGTCCAAGAGTCAGAGGTTCTGACTTCACGGTAGAGTTGCCACGTCAATTCTGGAGAGCCTCTCTCTTGCCAGCCCATCTAACTGGTTTCGCAGAGAGTAAACAACATATTTGAGGAGATAGCCTAAACAGTGTGGGAACACTGAGCTACTTGCGTCGGACACCTATGACCTCGAAGATTTCACCTTGGAGTCCACAAATACAGAGAAGGAAGTGTCCCAGTGTACCCACAACACAGACCATCTGTGACCCAGTATTGACCGGTCACAGAATGGGAACAATAACATTATTGGCTAAGCAACCTGTGTCCTTAAAGAAGGTAAACAGACATCAAGGTTTGTCCTGTATGTCACATCTTGGCGTCTATGACAATTGTTTCCATAACAATCATACTTGTCTTTGTGACGGGATTCATAGTGTCGGCGCAGATTGTATTCTTTGAATACCGCCACCGCCTCTTGACAGATGAGACAAACAGCCTTTTCTTTGCATTGAACAAAAAAATAATCGTTTGACCACTGCAGGTTAAATACCCTGCATTCTGAATCAATTTTTCTCTTACCTAACCTTTTCACCATTATTCCGTTCTATTTGTGACCCGCTCTATCGAAATCAGTCGGAAGTCGCAACGGCTCATTTAAAAAATAAACGTGGATTTATGTAAAAAACTATTTTTTAGATTTAGGCGGCAGGTCGTCCCGGCGTCAAGCAGACGCGCGCGAGTCCTGGGAAATTAGCCGTTTCTCATTTCTATAATTTTCGCGTCACAGACTCCCAGGTCCTCCGGCAGCGACCCGGAAACGGATTTCAGCGCGCCGTCTCGAAGGAAAACAAATGTCTCTAAAGGCTCGTCGAGGATCGATTATCGAGGAGGCTGTCTGGAAGAGCCGTAACCGAGGATACACTGATTTAGAGGAGAGAGGAGTGTCTCTGGAGGAGCTATAACCGAGGGTACACTGAAGTATTCTCCTGAGACGATTTCAGCCAACAGTGATGTTTAAAAGAGGCGTGACGCATGGCTGGACTTCTGTCAAACGAAGCACAGCTCTGTAAACTGTTCCCGTTGTGTTATTTGAGATGATCAAATGTGCATCAGACTTTCTGCCCTTTACCGTTTGTTTACTCACTAATCACATGTCCCCTGGATGTTAGGCTTTTTTTTTTCTCAACACAACTGCTTTCATTGTGACGCGATGTTTACAGTGAGAACAGCTGCTGAGGTCAGTGCAGAAAGAAGAACAGTGTGTATAATATATATCGCTCAATAACAAATGTAACAGGCCTACATTTCACACTTTATTTGTAGGCTTTAGGAGATATCTACAAATAAACAGTAGGGTTAGGGTTAGGGTTAGGGAGTGTCGAGGTGTCTTTTGTAATGAATATGCCGCCAGCAAAGGGCGTTGTTGGACTAACAGTAGGTGTGTGTGTGTGTGTGTGTGTGTGTGTGTGTGTGTGTGTGTGTGTGTGTGTGTGTGTGTGTGTGTGTGTGTGTGTGTGTGTGTGTGTGTGTGTGTGAGTTGATGTGCCAGGCAGACAGGCAGGTCTCAGTTGCTTATCTGACATATAATTGGTCAAAAATTGTACATTATCCGTTAGCCTACGAGCTCCCCGTTTGAGCGAAGGACTATTCCTTCTCAATGTAGCATGACATTGGATATGCGCTGAAGTTGTCCTGGATTGGAATTGTTCCGATCATTCCCCTAGGAGGAGTTTGCAAGAATGTGCTTAAAATGCATGAAAAACGCACATATTTCAAAATGGCCGACTTTTTGGGGGGCGTGGCTAATGGAAGGCAATTCGAAATATGTGTGCAATCATAATAGCAGTATGTATACAGTGTTTCGTGAATATTTAAAAAACTATACGTGAGTAGTTTGGAGTCATTTGGAGTCATTTGTGATATGTAAATCGTAAAAAATGGTGTATTCGCTGTTAGCTTACGACCTCCACGATTGAGCTATCAAAAATGTTCTTCTCAATTTAGCATCATATTGAATAGGGGCTGAACGTGTCCTGGATTTGAATTTTTCCGATCATTCCCCTAGGAGGAGTTTGCAAGAATGTGCTTAAAATGCATGAAAAACGCACATATTTCAAAATGGCCGACTTTTTGGGGGGCGGGGCTAATGGAAGTCAATTCGAAATATGTGTGAAATTATAATAGCAATATGTATACAGTGTTTCGTGAATATTGGAAAAACTATACGCGAGTAGTTTGGAGTAATTTGGAGTAATTTGTGACATGTAAATGGTAAACAATGGAAAGTTCTTCGTTCGCTTACGAAGTCCTCATTTGAGCGATCAATTATTCCTTCGCAATTTAGCATCACATTGGAAATGGGCTGAACTTGTCCTGGATTGGAATTTTTACGATAATTTCCCTAGGAGGAGTCCGCAGAAATGTGCTTAAAATGGCTGAAAAACGCACATCTTTCAAAATGGCCGACTTTCTGGGGGGCAGGGCTAATGGAAAGCAATTTGAAATATATGTGCAATCATAATAGCAGTATGTATACAGCGTTTCGTGAATATCGGAATAACTATATTCGAGTAGTTTGGAGTAATTGGCGACATGTAAATCGTCAAAAATGGTGTATTCGCTGTTAGCTTACGACCTCCACGAGTAATTTTTCAAAAATGTGTTCCTCAATTAAGTATCATATTGGATAGGGGCTGAACGTGTCCTGGATTGGAATTTTTCCGATCATTCCCCTAGGAGGAGTGCGCAAGAATATGCTTAAAATGCATAAAAAACGCACATATTTCAAAATGGCCGACTTTTTGGGGGACGGGGCTAATGGAATGTATGTACAAATATGTCCGCAATTCCATGAGGAATGTCTGTACCAAAATTCGTGAAGTTCTGAGAAACTATGTGACTACCACACAATAGGGGCCGCTAGTGAGCAGTTTTTTTGAAAATTTGCGTTTTTTTTTTACATTCTCGAAAAGGTCCTGGGCTCTGACGTGTGTCCCAAGTTTTGCGTCCGAAGCTCATTTTATGCTATCACAATTTTAAAAAAAAGTATAGGCCACGCCCACATTCTGCATTTGTTGCGAAACTTTAAATCTGAGTTCGTAGTCACCCCGAGAGTATGTGTAAAAAAGAAAAAAAAAGATTAATCCATCTGCCCTCGAGTTATAAATTGGTGGTGTTTTGGCGGCCCCTATAGTCCAAAATGAAAATGCTTTGGTGTACCTATTTCCCAAGACAAACTGAACCTATTTACCAAAATCTGTGATGTTTGGATACATTGTTGATGAGTTATGAGCATTTCTTTCTAAGCCCCGCCTTTTTGCGAGTACGTTTTAATTCATGGCGGAAATATTTATCGTTTGGACATGCTCATCTCCTAGGGTAATGTGTCTGACCCTCAACCGATGCTGTATACGAAGTTTGGTGTTGAAAAACTGAAAATTGAAATTTAAGTGAATATTTCACTGTTTATGTAAATTATGCCAATTTTTTAAAAAAATGTAGGCGGAGCTTAGGTTTCCATGAGGGTTATTTGTAGAGCAGGCCCTCCCGGATATGTGTGCAACATTTCAGGTCATTCGGAGTTACGGTGCGACTTTGTTAAATTTATTCCGAAATGGGATTTTGATAGGTGGCGCTAGTGAGCAGGTTGGAATATTTAACCCATTGACTCCAGAATGTTGTAATTTTTACCGGTTCGGGTGTCCGTGCAAAATTATACAACTTTTTAAGCGTCCTAAAGGCCTCAAAAACAGGAAAGATGGCGACTAATAAGAATAAGAAGAAGAAGAATTTCTTGCCCAAAGCTCCGTGCTTTTCTGGTTCTGAACTGGTTCTCCTTTTTAGTTCCAGTTGTGTTCCCAGCCGCTCACAACCACAACAATGGCAGACTGCGTCGGGTTGATTCTCGTGTTGCTTTTAATAATATGAAGCCAGATTAGATTAAATCACTATTATGCTGAATGCTGAAGCTAACTGTCCATGTTTCTTTTTAAACACTTTGAGAGCTGCAGACTGCTGGAGGTGCTTCAAACTGTAAATAAAATGTAGCTCTACATGTCCATGTGACCTTGGGAAAGATACTTAACCACACATTGGTATGGCTAACGTGTGTGAGTGTGTGTGAATGTTAGTCTCCCTGAGCACCTTGCATGGCAGCCTCTGCCTCTATGAATGGGTGTGAACGGGTGAATGTTGATATGTAAAGAGCATTGAGGGCTTATATCTAAAATATATAATCTGTTCAATTTTAAATCTGAACACATGAGGCTGTATTTCCCCTTGTTCTGTTTATTAAGGGAAGGATTTATACTTTTTAATCTATGAATCATCCCACTGTAGCTGAACATCAGACTGTGATGTCAGTGTGTGTGGGTGTGGTTTGCTGCATGCAGTCTGTATTTAAGGAGGTGTTGCTGCAGACTAACTTCACTTCCTCAGCTCAGCAGCAGACCAGCTCCTCCCTCCAGAACCAACTATGGCCAGCAAACTTGCCCAAAATGGTAAGTGAATAAACTTTATTGTTAACGATGATTGCAATTTATCTAAATAGATATTCATAGATGGATATGTAGCTTGACATATTTCCTAATAATGAACAGATCAAAACAGTTAATACAAAATTAATATTTCTTAAATCCCAACCATTTTAAGAGCCTGGGTGATTTTGCAAATGCGAACACAGCTTGTAGTCTTGCGTGCATTACATTCTTCACAAGACTACATATTGAGGGGTAGCCAGTCAGAAGTTTGTTTGGACACCACAGGCTACTGATTACAACTAAAGGCAACTTATACCCTTACAAGTTTTTTTAGGCCCAAAATTGGGTAATTTGTAGAAGTATTAAAGATAGAAACTGAACATGTTATAAGGACTATAAAATAAACTGTAAAAAATGTTTTGTCATTAAAATAAACGTACAGCTAGAGGCCACTGCTGCACCATGTCAGTTCAGGTTGTACACAGGCAGTTAAGAAGTCAAACATTCAGGCAAGATTAACATTTAGTTTGATTTTAATTTCCAGTATTTGTGTTCATCATGGTGCCTCTCTCTTGCTCCGGTGAAGAAAAAATAAGGTCCCTTCAAGGTGCATCACTTGACATTGACAGACCCTCTACCTTTATCACCAAACCTGCCAGTCACCTAATAAACGCTTTCTATGTTGAGAATAGCTACAGGAATAAATGAAAAATATCAATTGAATGACATAGCTTCTACACCCGCTCTAGATTATTAAACCATCTTGAGCCCACCCCCCTCACTGTCAACATTGTTCATTTGGTAGTTGAACCATTTTATAAATACAGAGATTGCTAAATATTCCTTCATTTTTTTCAGCCCTCCCATCAGAATCAAACACATACAATAACGAGGTATTCCGGATTGTGTTGGTGGGGAAGACCGGTGTTGGGAAGAGCGCCACAGGAAACACCATTCTTGGAAAAAAGCACTTTGAATCAAAGTTCTCTGCTAAATCCATGACTGTAGACTGTTCTAATGCCTTTGGTGAAGTTGATGGACAAAGAGTTAAGGTTATTGACACTCCAGGTCTGTTTGACACCAAGATTGATGAAAAGAATACCAGAAAAGATGTTGGTAAGAGCATTGCCTTTGCTTCTCCTGGACCCCATGTCTTCCTGGTCGTCATCAAACTGGGCAGATTCACAGATGAAGAAAAGCAGACAGTGAAGAAGATTCAGGAAATCTTTGGAGAGCAAGCAGACAGATACAGCATGGTTCTCTTTACCCACGGTGATCAGCTCGAAGGAACTATTGAAGAGTTCTTGAAGGAAAGTGAAGAGCTGCAGGAACTGGTGGTCAGATGTAACGGCCAGTACCACGTCTTCAATAATGAGGAGAAGGATCGTTCTCAGGTCAGAGAGCTGCTCGACAAGATCAGAAATATAGCAGAGAAGAACAAAGGAAGCCATTACACCACTGAAATGTTCCAGGAGGCAGAGAGGGCCATAGAAGAGGAGAAACAGAGAATCCTTAAAGAGAGAGAAGAGGAAATACGCAAACAGGAAGAGGAAATGGAAAAGAGATTAGATAAAATGCATGAGGAACAATTGAAGAAAATCAAAGAGGATGGTGAGAGGTTAGCAAGGCAGATAGAAGCTCATGAAAGAGGAATGGAGGAGGAGATTAGGAGAATAAGAGAAGAGGAGCAAAGGCTGAGAGAAGATAGCAAAAAAGAAATGGAGGAGGGGATGAGGAGATTAAGAGAAGAGGAGCAAAGGCTGAGAGAAGCTAGCAAAAAAGAAATGGAGGAGGAGAGGAGCAGAATAAAAGAAGAGGGGGAAAGGGTGAGAGAAGCTCACAAAAGGGAAATGGAGGAGGAAAAGAGGAGAATAAGAGAAGGGGAGGGCAGGAGGGCCAGGAAGGATGCTGAGGACAACGCTTCATGGATTGACGACCTTTGTTCCGCTGTGGCACAAGGTGTGAAATCTTTTTTTTTTGGCGTCGATGATACAGTCTGACCCTCTGGAATACCTCCTTGTTAATCTTCACAGTCCCCTTTTAGATGTTGTTGTTTGATGTGATTTATAGTAATATCAGTTATTTCAGTTGTGAGTTGCAATTACATACTAACAGGGTTACAGATCGTCAAGAACCAAGATGTTACTAAACTATAGTAATGTAATGCAAACTAATTTGTTCTTTGATAGCTTTTGCTTTTACAAGAAAAAAGCAAAATTATATATTATATATCATGAATGAATGCTTTTAAGATGTTATACGGATACGTTTTCTTTGGCTTTCCTGTAACTAACGTAATGTTGGCTTTTGTCAAATGAAAGGTTAAAATGTATGTATGCAATGAATTTTGTAATTCAATCTGAAAAGGTTGGAACATAAATGAATGTGTAAAGACAAACATAGTGATCAATAATGTCCCATAATAAAAGACTGTTGACTTCACATTGAGTGTATTATGTGCTTCTGTTGTTTAATAAAGGACTTAAAAGACAGTTTATTAGAAATCACAGTGTTATTCACAACTGGATCTAAATAAAAAAATGTCATGTCATCATAAAAAAGAAGAAATAATAACCCATTAAAAGCAAACTGGAAATGAACGTGTACCAATCCCTACAGCTTTGGAGAGGAACTTTAGGGAACATCTGGTAAATACATTTGTTTGTAGCATGACAATTCTTCTGAAAACACAGCCAAGCAGTTTGCATCAACACATCTATCTAAAGGGATAAGTTATCATTGAACTATTTATCTTTGTTTTAAACATGATAAGGGTTTGAGGAAAAATGTTTTACTTTTTAGAGAAGAGCATTTATCTAAAGGTGAAAAGTCTTTTCAACTTATTTATTTATTATTTTAGAAACATGTCAGAACCTAAATGTATGAACAAAACTTGATGTAATTAAACTCAAGAAAGTCAATTAAATGTTGTAAGTCATTTAGTGGCTTGCTCATGGGCACTTGCCAAGGCACTACAGACTGAGCCACTGCCACCCATTTAATAAAATGCTGCAGTTTTTAACACTATAGTCAGTAGAATGATGGAAAATATCCAACATTGTTCTCTCAATACTTCACAAACCGGCTCTCATGCCCCTTTCACACCAACGCGTTTTCAGTTCCGGTTCGGAGCTGGAGCCTGAAAAGTACAGGTTTTTCCTGTTCACACCGCAGAGGCGCCGCCTCTTAGCTCCGGAATCCGGTTCACTTCCAGCTCCAAAAAATTGTCGGTGTAGAGTAGTGATGGGTCGTTCGCGAACGATTTGTTCTTTTTGAACGAATCTTTGAAGTGAACAAGATGAATTGATTCCTCCCACAAAACGATTCGTTTGTTTGAGTCGCCGCCTTCCGCCAAAAGCTAAAGAGAAGCTGTTCGCGAACGACGAACTTAAAGAACCTACAGTTCTTCTATATTATATCCCTTTCTTTCAAGAGGAGGGTCCCGTTAGGGCCCCTCCGAAATACTGAATGTTCCATCTACACAGAGTTGGACTCAGTTAGACAACTACCACAAATACAATGAAGTACTTTACTGTTGGACTCAGTACTAGCTGGAATTCTACCACAAGTAGGCTACTATGAAGTTATTTTACTGTGTACTTTCAGTTATTCTCTGTCAAACTCCTGTGGCAAAAAATAATTTGATCTCTCATCAAATATAGCAGAAAACATGCAGTTTGACAGGATTAAAACTGTAATCAGAGCCCTCTCATCTGAGCTCCGTTACACACACACAGGAGTGGGACATCCTCCTCAACTTGTCCGCCATAAAAGCTTCAGAGGGCGGATAGCTGGGCTCCGTAGCATCCAGCTAGCTTAGCCGCTAGCTTAGCGATAAATACACACAGCGTTGTATTCTCCTCCCCCTGTCGGCCCTTAAAGCTTCAGAGGGCGGATACCTGAGCTCCATAGCGTCCCGCTAATGTGAAACACACAGCGTTAGCGGGACATTCTCCTCCCCCTGACGGCCCTAAAAGCTTCAGAGGGCGGATAGCTGGGCTCCGTAGCGTCCAGCTAGCTTAGCCGCTAGCTTAGCAATAAATACACACAGCGTTGTATTCTCCTCACACACACACAGCGTTAGCGGGACATTCTCCTCCCCCTGTCGGCCCTAAAAGCTTCAGAGGGCGTATATCTGGGCTCCGTAGCGTCCAACTAGCTTAGCCGCTAGCTAAAGGTAAACATAGATGGGTACATAGAATATTAATAAATCGTCACCGATGTAGAGGATATATTTTTTTATTCACTTTGAACTCGGCCAAATGGAGTTTAATGCTTTGGGATTTAAGTTAGGCCACATAGTACGTGCATGGGTTTGAAAGTATAACGTGCTAGCCTGCTGTCAGGCACACATTTATGAGATTTAACAATGGCCAATTATATTTCTTAAATAATATGTAGCCTATTCCCAGAGCATAATTTATGGGGCAACAAGGTGAGGTGTAAAATGTGTTTTAATATCATATATTTTACGCCAGCAAACTTCTTGTACGGACTTCGGCAGTAGTGAAGACTCACTGAACTAATTAAGTACAAAGACGAATCGTTCGCGAACGTGCAAATCACCAGAAGTCGTTCGCGAACAGGTGAACGAATCAGTGAACGAATCTTCAAAGTGAACTGAATCAAAAGATTTGTGTCCCCGAAGGGAATCGAAATGCCCATCACTAGTGTAGAGGCAAGAGCTTCGGAGCTAAGAGGCGGCGTCGCTTACGTCTCTCTTACGTCGAGGCAGGGGCATGGGCGGGATCAACCTCCTGAAGACCGCAAAGAAGTCTTGAATTTCGCATGTGATGTTTGGAAAGTTCCAAGTAAAGTCGTCCCTTGTAAAGTCGTCCGATGCCTTCCAATTCGTTTCGTAAGAGGATAACCAAAGCGAACAGCGCTTCAATAAAATCGGCCATTGTTGTTGTTGTCGATGTGAGGGATTTCCGCGGTTTGGATTTTATTAAGCAGGCACGTAAACGGTGACGTCATGACGCAGCAGCGGCAGCTCTGGTCGGTGTGAACAGAGCGGGAGCAGAAAAGGGAAACTGGAGCTGAACCAGAAAAGCTCCCGCTCGGAGCTAGAAAGGGAAAAGCGCTGGTGTGAAAGCCGCATGACAGGGTGATTTCAAGGTGCTCCCTGGTTATAACCTGCTTTAGCTTAGGAAACATTGGACCTTGCTTTATGAAAGGAAAGGAGACAATGCTGCCCCACAATGCCTTGCAGCCGCAGCATTTGCGTCACACAACAGTCGGCCGTTCACGGAAACAACCGATTATGACGGAGAAATTATATCATGAAAGTTACGGTGCTTATTAAGCATTTTAAAACGTATGTGGTAAGTTGCCAAAGTGCTTTGTTTTGAACGTTCATCAGTATTATAATCAAAGAGAAATATGAACGTTAGTTTTTACTGAAATGATCAAATAAAGTCAACATTTCACTGAGCTGTGTGGGGTTGTTCAACTTTTAAAATATGTTTAATGGTGATATACACAGTGATAGATGTTAAGGACTAACGTTTATAATAAATACATTTGTATTGATGTTAAGATATTTTCATAGTTCATACAATCATACGTATTGGGATCATTTGTATTAATGTGGACCGGAGGGAGAGGGTGACGAGCATAAGTTTCACTTTCCTTTTTTATTTCAATTCCAACTTTGGTCATTGTTACAGTCGCTGTTACCTTGTGCCCTTAACTTTGTTTGTGTGTGTGTATGTAAATGAGCTGTGCGGTTCCTATGCTGTCAGTGGCCGTACCGACCTCGCAACATCCGCAGTGATTGGACGGACGTCACCCAATCCCGCCCGCTTCTGCCACGTCATCTGGGGGAGGAGTATAAAGGCCGGGCACGGACATCATTCTGGAGGCTCTGTATTGTGGGACAGACGCCCCAAGCCTCTCATTGTGACATTGCCTTATTCTGTGATTCCTAAGACTGCCTAGCAGTGTGTATTTTGTGATTCGTTAGACTGCCTAGCAGTTTGTTCAGTAGGGTTCTGTGCGAGCACACTGATTAGCAGTGTGTCGTAGTATTCTGTGTTTAGTGTAGGGTTTGTGTGTGGGTATTGCTTAGATCCAGGTTGCTTAGCTCCTGTAGAACAGCATGTAGGATATTGACATTGTGAAACAGCTTAGACTCAGGTTAGCTTAGCGCCTGTAGATCAGCCTTTGTGAAAGTATTGCTGAGACCCCGGTGATTAGCACCGGTTGATCAGCAACAGCTGTGTTCCCACACAGCCTCATTCTGGTTAGTGTTTTGTTCCACTTTAGAAGTGAGGTTCTTTCTTTTGTATTATATTGTGAAACTCTCTTTTGGAGTTCCCCTTTTTGTTTTAAAGCTAACAGTTGGTCCGCTGTTGGTGTGTATATTATTGTGTTCTTTGTTTTGGGTTACCAATAAACCACCGGTAACATATACCAAATCCAATCTGGTCGTGTCGTGTCCCTTTGGTCCCCCTAGCCCAGTAGGGAACGTAACACGTGGGGTCTCGTCCGGGATATTTAAATCAATTCCTGGGGTTATAGGTGGTTTTATTGTGGCTGAAAACTTTGTAAAACGTGTGGGCGGTACACCCGAAAATGGCATCCTTCACTTTAGAATCGTTCTTAGTTTGGCCGTCCTATGAGGAGCTGGACCGGTGTAAAAAGGACGACTTGATGGAGATAGCGCGGCACTTGTGGTGAGCCGGCAAATGTTAAAACAAGAGTTGAAGGCATTGGTAGGGGATGAGATGGTGAGAAAGGAATTACTAGTACCTGGCTGTACCTGCTGAGCTCCCAGTGTCCAATGTTCTAACTGAAGACCCGTTAAGTCGGAGGCAGGCGGCGGAGTTTACATTTACAGAAGAAAAGAGTGGTGACAGCGAGGGGGGCGAGTCGTGTGAAGCATGGTTCATGCCGCCTCGCAGAGGTCCACCCTCTTCTGTGGGCAGTACAGATTCCCGGGAAGGGAATAAACTCAAAGTCTGTCTTGCCCGACTACAGTTGGAAGCTAAAGACAGGGAGCAAGACAGGCAGTTTCAGTTAGAGATAAGGAACATCGAGGCAGATAAGGAAGTCCGGATCCGGATACGGCAGATGGAGCTAGACTCCAAACTGCGCGCATCCGGTGTTGTTGGCAATCCTAGAGAAAGCTTTTCACTTCCTTCTCATCCACCTGCCTTCAATGTAGGGAAAAATGTTGCATTAGTGCTGGTGTTCCGTGAGACTGAAGTGGATGCATATTTTGGTGCGTTTGAACACATTGCAGCGGCATTACAGTGGCCGGCTGAAGCCTGGGCTCTGTTAGTGTAGTGTAAACTTCACGGGAGAGCTCAGGAGGCGGTTGCTGCTCTTTCACTAGAGGACAGCCTAAGTTACGATCTGGTAAAGCGTGCCATACTTAGGGTGTACGAGCTAGTTCCCGAAGCTTATCGGCAGAAGTTTAGGAATCACAGAAAGGGGTCTAATCAAACACATGTCGAGTTTGCCAGGGAGAAGGGGATGTTGCTCACTAAGTGGATTGACTCATGTGACGCTGCAGAGTATTCTGCCTTGAAAGAATTAATCCTGATGGAGGAATTTAAAAGGGGATTACCTGACCGTATTGTGGGGCATATAAATGACCAGAAAGTGCAATCTCCCTCCGCAGCTGCTGTGCTGGCAGACGAATATGTGCTAACGCATAAAACGGTGTTTTCTCCGGCTATTGCTGAGAACTCTCACCGCATGCCAGGTGCACCTGTTGGTCAGTCAGCTAAAGTATTCACAAGGAACAGAGAGGAGAGAGAATGTCACTATTGTCATCAGCCTGGACATGTTATTGCTAACTGCATGATTCTTAAGCGGAAGGAGCAGCCACCAACCATGACCAGGCCGAAAGGCATCGGCTTAATTAACACGAACTCACTCGGTATTTCCGCATCTGACAACGATGAGGAAATAGATCCCTGTTTTAAGCCTTTTGTGTTCGAGGGGTTGATATCATTAACAGGTGAGTCGGACGATCGGAGACCCGTCCACATTCTACGAGACACTGGAGGCTCACAGTCAGTGATTGTGGCCTCGGCTCTGCCATTCTCAGACCAATCAGCGTGTGGGTATGGATCGATATTATGACCCATTGAAATGGGTTATGTGCCCCGTCCCGTACACAATGTACACATACAGTCTAAGTTAATTACTGGATCTTTCCCTGTTGCTGTGTGCCCAGCATTACCCATAAGGGGTATAGTTATTTTAATGGGAAATGATATCGCAGGAGGTAAGGTAACTCCTGCCCTTGAAATATTGGATTCCCCTCAGACTGTGTTGTCTGAGGCAACAAATGCCCACATTTTTCCCATTTGTGCTATCACTCGCGCGCAGGCGCGTAAGAGTGACTCGGAGGTGTCTTTACATGATACTATGTTTTGGACCATGTTTTCAGATGACAAAATGCCGGAGGAAAAGCCAGCAGTGGTGATTTCCGCTTTCCCTGCTGTGACCGCTGCGCCAGCGCAACCTGCCAGCCCAGCCGTTGACGGTTCCACACTCCCGGTAACCCGAGAGCGGTTACTTGCCGCGCAGACGGCGGATCCGACGCTTGTGAAGTGTTTCGAGCAGGTGATGAGTAATAATAAAGCAAGGCATGAGAAGGTAGCGTATGTGTTGATAAAGAGGTATTAGTGCGCAAATGGTCCCTCACTGCTACTGCTGAAGTTGACTGGAGTGTAGTGCATCAGGTAGTCGTGCCGGCGCCATACCGCCAGCATGTACTATCTGTAGCGCATGAAAGCCAATGGTCGGGACACTTGGGCGTGACTAAAACTTATCAAATAATCCTCAAGCATTTATTTTGGCCAGGTTTAAAGAAGGATGTCTCTAGCTTTTGCCGCTGCTGCCATGTGTGTCAGGTTGTCGGTAAGCCTAATCAGAAAATTCCTCAAGCTCCTTTACATCCTATACCGGCTATAGGTGAGCCCTTTGACCGGGTGTTGATAGATTGTGTTGGCCCTTTACCACGTGCAAAAACAGGTCAACAGTATTTGCTCACCATAATGTGTACGTCTACTCGTTTCCCGGAAGCTATTCCGCTGCGTAGCATTACTTCCGGTGCTGTAGTTAAGGCCTTGACGAAGTTATTTTCTACCTTTGGAATTCCGCGTGTAATTCAGAGTGACCAAGGGACAAATTGCAGGTTAAACATGTCATATCCAGTGCGTATCATCCCGAGTCGCAGGGGGCGTTGGAACGGTGGCATCAGACGTTAAAAAGCATGCTGCGAAAATACTGCATGGAAACAGAAAAAAATTGGGATGAGGGAATTCCCTTTGTTTTGTACGCAGCCCGTGAAGCTGTTCAGGAGTCATTAGGATTCAGTCCCGCGGAGCTCGTCTTCGGCCATACGCCCCGCGGTCCACTTAAAATTCTACACGATGAGTTTCTTTCGGCTGATAATCCACCAGATAAGAACGTATTAGATTACGTTAGTCAGTTTCGTGAGCGTTTGCACCGGGCAAATTCACTCGCTAGAGAGTCGCTATCCGCCTCACAAGCTGTCATGAAGCGTAATTATGACCATGCCGCTGTCCCTAGGCACTTTGAAATAGGTGATAAGGTCCTCGCACTATTGCCTATCTCCGGCTCTGCGCTATCAGCAAAATTCCTCGGCCCGTACGAAATCCGTGATTGTCTCAGTGACACAGATTACGTGATTGGTACTCCAGAGAGACGACGAAAAACGCGCATCTGCCATGTAAACATGTTACAGTGGGAAGGTACAGTGGGGAGTTGCAGTGGGAAGTTGCAGTGGGAAGTTACAGTGGGAAGTTGCAGTGGGAAGTTGCAGTGGGAAGTTACAGTGGGAAGTTACAGTGGGAAGGTACAGTGGGAAGTTGCAGTGGGAAGTTGCAGTGGGAAGTTGCAGTGGGAAGTTACAGTGGGAAGTTACAGTGGGAAGTTGCAGTGGGAAGTTACAGTGGGAAGTTGCAGTGGGAAGTTGCAGTGGGAAGTTACAGTGGGAAGTTACAGTGGGAAGTTACAGTGGGAAGGTACAGTGGGAAGTTGCAGTGGGAAGTTGCAGTGGGAAGTTACAGTGGGAAGTTACAGTGGGAAGGTACAGTGGGAAGTTGCAGTGGGAAGTTACAGTGGGAAGTTACAGTGGGAAGTTGCAGTGGGAAGTTGCAGTGGGAAGGTACAGTGGGAAGTTACAGTGGGAAGGTACAGTGGGAAGTTGCAGTGGGAAGTTACAGTGGGAAGTTGCAGTGGGAAGTTACAGTGGGAAGGTACAGTGGGAAGTTGCAGTGGGAAGTTACAGTGGGAAGTTGCAGTGGGAAGTTGCAGTGGGAAGTTGCAGTGGGAAGGTACAGTGGGAAGTTGCAGTGGGAAGTTGCAGTGGGAAGGTACAGTGGGAAGTTGCAGTGGGAAGTTGCAGTGGGAAGTTGCAGTGGGAAGTTACAGTGGGAAGGTACAGTGGGAAGTTGCAGTGGGAAGTTGCAGTGGGAAGTTACAGTGGGAAGGTACAGTGGGAAGTTGCAGTGGGAAGTTACAGTGGGAAGTTGCAGTGGGAAGTTGCAGTGGGAAGTTGCAGTGGGAAGTTGCAGTGGGAAGTTACAGTGGGAAGGTACAGTGGGAAGTTGCAGTGGGAAGTTACAGTGGGAAGTTACAGTGGGAAGTTGCAGTGGGAAGTTGCAGTGGGAAGTTGCAGTGGGAAGTTACAGTGGGAAGGTACAGTGGGAAGTTGCAGTGGGAAGTTGCAGTGGGAAGTTGCAGTGGGAAGTTGCAGTGGGAAGTTGCAGTGGGAAGTTGCAGTGGGAAGTTGCAGTGGGAAGTTGCAGTGGGAAGTTGCAGTGGGAAGTTGCAGTGGGAAGTTTTTGTTTCCTCTGGCAGGACGCTGCTCTGCAGTGAGCACTTCAGGAGTGAGGACTTTGACAGGACGGGGCAGACTGTCCGGCTTAAAGATGGTGTTGTGCCAACAATATTCAATTTCCCAGCTCATCTTCAAAGGGTATGTGTATCATTGGCCAACAAGAATTCAAGGTGTATAAGATTGATATATAAATATGTGATTAAATGTCACAATTTAGTTTTTCTTTCTGCAAGTTTAGGAATAAATAATGTGTTGTGTATTACAGCACATTTTAAACACTCAAAATGTCTTTAATTATGTTTATTTTAGCCGGAAGCAACAAGAAGCACAACCACTTCAAGAAGAGCGGAAGATGAACCTCAGCCTAATGTTGTGAGTATTCTGAATGTGGCCAAGACCAGAGAGATGGTCATTGATTTCAGGAGGGTGAGGACGTCTCTTCTACCCCTGTGCATTCTGGGAGAGGATTTGGCTGTTGTGATGGACTACAAGTACCTGGGAGTGCACTTAGACAATGGGCTGGACTGGAGGATCAACACTGACGCTGTGCACAAGAAGGGGATGAGCAGACTCTATTTTCTGAGGAAGCTGAGATCCTTCCACGTGTGCAGCAAGATGCTGGAGATCTTCTAGTCTGTTGTGGCTAGTGCACTCTTCTTTGCTGCGGTCTGCTGGGGGGCAGCATCAGAGACGGTGACACCAGCAGGATCAATAAACTGATCAGGAAAGATGGGTCTGTCATCGGCATCAAGCTGGACCCCTTTGAAGCTGTGGTGGAGAGGAGGACACTGAACAGGCTGTTGTCCATCATGGATAACCCAACCCAGTCTCATAAAAAAACGTTTAATAACTACGTTGGTCCACAACATAGGACGTAGTATTTCTACAAAAACGCCTCTGAAATTGTAGGATCCCTACGTTTTTTTTCACCATTCATTCCAATGGCTGCGTCTATGTCACGTGATCTTCACATTTCTCCCTGCAGAAAAAAGAAACATGGCCGAACATCGTTTTATTCTCGGTGGAAAATGCCTATTTTAAACTTAGTTTGGCCATTAAAATGCGTTTTGATGTCATTTTATGTGAGAAATATGAGTTGTTATTTCAGATTATGTGTGCAGTGGTTGTGCATGATCTTTAGTTTGCTAGTTATTACGAAGATTACTTCAGGAAATTGAGTCTTTACAACGTTTTCATTGTTACCAAGGTGGTTGCTAGGGACGCTGCTATCGATGTTATGTTGTGTAACTGTTTAATGGTGTTATCTTTATTGCTACCCCCTTCCCCGTCAATGTATAGTGTTGGTCAACAGCGCAAACTTATTAGTTTAACAAAATCCGCATCTAAAATTGTGGCATAGATACGTTATTTTCCCCTGTGCAATTCTCCATTTACTCAACAATAACACATAATTATCCTTGTGCAAGTGTAATATTCTCTAAAGCAAATGAGCTGTTCCGACCCTCGGTGTATATATATTAATTAATGGACGTCTCTTTATATATCGATTGCAAACGCTCCGGAGGGTCGTTTATTCACAAATAACCCTCTCTGGAAAATCCTAAATTGTGGAATAGTTTGGCCATTAAAATGCTTTTTTATTAGATTTCTAGCGAGAAGTGTATATTGTACTTTTATTATCTACGTCCAGTGGATGTGTAGGATCTACAGTTTGATAGATATACGAAGATGATTTGAGGTCTCGCCAGGAGAACGTGTACTGTATATGGGGCAGTTTCCATGTAAAGTTAGCGTGGGTGAGAACACATATTTCCGGTCACGAAGTTTTCATAATAAAACCGGAAGTATTCCCCACACTGTCAAATGATTACACAGTGATATCTCCATTACTCATCCACTAAAAGACATCAGTTTATCGTTGTTAATTACACAATATTGATTGTGTACAATGCTTTTGTGTTTTTAACCTTCGATTCGAAGAAATAAATTGTTTTTTCAGAGTTTAGACACTACAGAGTTTCCGAAGACACTACACTACCCAGAATCCCCAGCTATCGTTTGGGACTACAACATCCGCCCGTGATTAGCCCTCAAGCTCTGTGATTGGAGGTTGGAGTGGCAGTGCGACAAGGTTACGCCGAGTGTCAAACAGCTATTTGAAATGGAATGGAACCACGGCAGACTATCCAAAACTGGACTTGGACGGGTCCAGCCCAGCCCCCCCCCCCAGAATTACACATGCTGGCTATTGTGTGTTTCGCAACATGTTCTATGGCACGTCTCTACTGGGAGTTGTAGTTTTAAAAAGACGTTTTCGTATTTCCCACAATTAGAAGTTGCCAGTATTAAACTGTATACATCCCTGGAGGTTTAGGGGATACGAAACACATTGGTGTTATCAAATTTAAAACATATAATTAATACATGGGTGAAAATTGCTTGTGTCCATAATGGGCAGCATTAATATACCCACATGACAGCTAAGGTCAGAAGAGCTTTATTGAACAGCTGGTCTTATGTCTGTGACCCCTCCTGTTGTTAATTGATAAGCCTGAAACATGCACTTGTTAAGGTTCAGATGCACATTTAGCAAATATGGCAGTAGCCATCGATCATCTTAAGATAAGATACTTTATTGATCCCAAGTTGGGAAATGTTTTTGTTACAGCAGCATGTACTACTTTGTTCTACTCCACTACAATTCAGAGGTTAACCTGGTATTTTTACTCCACTACATTTATTTTTGTTACTTTGCAGATTCTGATTAATGATGTGAAATATAAACAACCCTTAAATCAGACTTTTGTTACACCTGAGTAAAATTCAGCCTTATCAGTTTGTCTGTTTTTCACATCCTCCTGTTAATATATTTGGACGTCCTGCACTAAACTGTTTTATTGTAGATATCACTACAGTATCTTCTTGATATTTTCTATTCTATATTTCTATCATTGACCCCTATTTTGTATGTAGGCTACTCTTAATATTTAAATGTTTTCATCAAATATAACTTATTCAACAACTAAATTCAATAACGTGCTTTAACCACTAGGCGGTGCGGTTTAAAAAAAACAGTGGTGTAGTTAAAACATAATAATATCAAACATAATATGACTATTCACTTTATTGTGAAATTAAAACAGAACGGTAAAGGAAAATACAGTTTCAGTCTCTCGATGTGAAGCTTATGCATCGTACCATGAACTTGTATAGACCTGTAACAGTCAACTGCATGAGGAGTTGGAAAGGTAGTTCAGAAAATCAGTAATATCTTTAAAAACTACAAAAAAGTCCCTTTCTATCAGCTGTGCACCGTTATGGTGTAAATACAGACTATCTACTTATTGGATCAAATATAAAAGTCAGCCGAATTAGTGTTGATACTGCAAGGAGACGTATTGTGTGAAAAGAAATGGAAGATGTTGTTTAATTGTTGATATTTTATGGTCCACGTCACGTATTCAGTTTTGGCGGCATCTCTTCCAGTTTGTCAAAAGGTCTTCTGATCAGGGCTCTATAAAAAAATATCTACGGCAGATATGTAATATTTAATGCAGATGAACCGTGTATTACAATGCCGTTATGTGATGACTTTCAAAGAGAAAAGAAAGAACACTCGGAATAAAGTATTATTTTATTTTTTTTAAATGTTTTCCGATTTCATATCATATAAACACCAAATCCCAACATGCATTGCGGCTAAAACAATCGATGTTTTAGCCTATCAAAACCTCTGAAAAAAGAAATGTGTCTCTCAGAATCGAAAGAGAAAACCCTATGGGAAAAACACAAAAGCATTGTACACAATTTAAACCATTAATGTCGTATAATTAACAAGGATAAACTGATGTTTTTTAGTGGATGAGTAATGCAGATATCACTGTTAAATAATTTGATCATTGGTTTTATTATGAAAACGTCGAGACCGTTTTCAACCCGTAACTTTACATGGAAGCTTGCCGCATATACACGTTCTCCTGACGAAACCTCAAATAATCTTCATAATATCTATCAAACTATAGATCCTACATATCGACTGGACGTGGATTCTAAAAGTACAATATATACTTCTCGCTAGAAATCTAATCACATAGCGTTTTAATGGCCAAACTATCCTACAATTTAGGATTTTACAGAGAGGGTTATTTGTGAATAAACGACCCTCTGTAACATTTGCATTCAACGGGAGCACTAGAGGCCGAAAACTTTAAAACATAATTATAGGTCGTATTAAGCGCTTGAACAATCGACCCATTTGGTCGTATGAGTTGGAGGACTTGTTCGTTGCGTTAAATGCGTTAAATATTTTAACGCCATTAATTCAAAAAATTCATTACCGCCGTTAACGCGATAATTTTGACTGCATTAATTATATTGTTTGTAAATGTGTTAATGTACAAAGAGAGGGGATATCAGATGTTAGAGGGTCTGACAGGCACTCCTTGTGGTTTATTTTTATAACCATAAAGGGTTCTATTTGGAACCTCAAAGGTATTTTGTGGAACTGCAACGAAAAAACATTTATTAAGAAAGCAATAAATCTCTCCCTCAGCACAAATGCAATTCCAAAAGTATGGAAGTCAGCTTATGTCTTGCCTTTGCTAAAAGGAGGGGAGGCAACTATTTTAAATAACTATAGGCCAATCTCTAAATTGTCAGTTCTGGCGAAGGTGCTCGAACGCTTAGTGAGTGAACAGGTAAAGGAGTTTTTACGTAAAAATGATATCCTGTCTAAACATCAGTCAGGCTTCAGAAAGCAACATAGCACCATCACTGCGACAATGAAAGTGGTGAATGACATTACGAGTATTTTAGATAATAAGCAGAGTTGTGCAGCTCTATTTATTGACCTTTCCAAAGCTTTTGATACTGTCGATCATCGCATCTTAAAGCAGAGGCTACTCAGTATCGGCATATCCAGCCATGCAGTGGGTGGTTTGTGAACTACCTCTCTGAAAGGTCCCAATGTGTTCACTTTGATGGGCTCACTTCTGAGTGGTTAAACATTACTAATGGTGTTCCTCAAGGTTCTGTTTTAGGTCCACTTGTATTCTCCATATACATCAATAGTTTAGGTGAAAATGTGGATGAAGCTACTTTACATTTGTATGCTGATGATACCGTGATGTACTGTGCAGGTCCCTCCATTCAGGAGGCTGGTGTTAAATTACAGGCTGTTTTTAACATTATTCAGACTCAGCTCGCTGAGCTTAAGCTTCTTTTAAATGTTGATAAAACCAAGGTAATGCTATTTTCAAAAGCTAAAAAGACACCAGAGCCTGTTTTGGATATTGTTACTATGCAAGGACAAGTACTCAAAGTGGTTGCCTGTTACAAATACCTAGGTATCTGGCTTGATGATTGTCTTACTTTTAAACTTCATGTCAATAACCTGCTTAAAAAGCTGAGGGTTAGACTAGGTTTCTTTTTCAGAAACAAGTCCTGTTTCTCGCTTGAAGCCAGGAAAAGGCTCTGTGACCTTTTGACCTGTGCTGGACTCTGGTGATTTGTTGTATATGAATGCACCTGCCTATTGCCTGAACAAGTTAGATGCCGCCTATCATAGCGCACTGAGATTTGTCACAAATTGTAAAGCACTTACTCATCACTGTACCCTGTATGCCAAGGCAGGTCTGCCATCACTTACTGTACGGAGGCTCAGTCATTGGTACACGTTTATTTATAAAGCTTTGTTGGGTAAACTCCTGTATTATATCTGCTCTCTGATAACACAGAGAGTTGCAAGCAGCTATTGTCTGAGATCGCATGATGTAGTCTTGTTAGATGTGCCAAGAGCAAGGACTGTCTTAGGTACGACAGCTTTTATGTGCGCAGCTCCACTTGCTTGGAACAATCTTCAGCAAGAATTGAAACTGAGCGATCTCATTCCTCTGCATGTTTTTAAAGCTAGGCTAAATGAAATGCTTGTTGATACTATGGTCACTTGTAAATGTCTATAACTATGTAAATGTATCCTGTAAATATAATGTATGATGTCCTTTACTGTTTTATGTTTCATGTGGAACCTATATGCTGCAGGTCTCCCTTGAAAAATAGATCTATGATCTCAAGGGACCAATCTCGTTAAATAAAGGTTTGAAATGAAAATAATTTATTTCTGTTTTTCAGTCTGTTCGTCTCAACCTTCTACAAACTGCCACAACACATACTCTGGCGATACATACTACCTCAATCATAAGGTTGTCCGGATTGTGATGATTGGGAAAACTGGAGCTGGGAAGAGCGCCACAGGAAACACCATTTTGGGAAAACAGTACTTTAAATCAAAGTTTTCTTTTGAATCTCTGACTAAAGACTGTGCTAAGGCCTTTGGGGAAGTGGAAGGACAAAAGGTTGCTGTCATTGACACTCCAAGTCTGTTTGACACCAGCACTGATGAAGAGAAGACCAGAAAATATATTGTTCAGAGCATTGTTTTTGCTGCTCCTGGACCTCATATCTTCCTGGTCGTCATCAGACTGGACAGATTCACAGATGAAGAAAAGCAGACAGTGAAGAAGATTCAGGAAATCTTTGGAGGGGAAGCAGACAGATACAGCATGGTCCTCTTTACCCATGGTGATCTGCTCAAAGGGAAACCTATTGGCGAGTTCCTGAAACACAGCAAAAAGCTGCAGGAACTTGTGAACAGATGTAACGGGTAGCAGAGGTGTGGACTCGAGTCACATGACTTGGACTCGAGTCAGACTCGAGTCACACATTTTATGACTTGAGACTTGACTTGACAACATCACAAAAGACTTGCGACTCGACTTGGACTTGAACACCAATGACTCGGGACTTGACTTGGACTTGAGCCTTCTGACTTGAGGTGACTTGCTACTTTAATTCAGAGGTCTCCAACACGCCGATCGCGAGCTGCTGCTAGAAGAGCAGACTCCCGACGGGGAAAGCAGAATCTTCAGCCGCTCCTACTCTTGCTGAGAATCCTTGCAGGCAGGGGCAGGTCTTTATTTAGCTGGGCCACCATGCGGCCAATCATATGCGAGGGCACACTAGGATCATACCATTATGTGAAAGAAGGGTGGGGGGCACAGCATGTGTAGTGGTACAGGCCAGCTGCACAGAGTGACGGGGAGACGGATTTAAATGCAAGCGCGTCGGAAAAAGTCAAGAAATTAGCGAAAACCGAAAAAAGAAGCAGCATCTGGCTGCTTTTCAATAATATTGGAGAAAGCAAAGCTGAGTGCAGGATTTGTAAAATGAAAATAACCTTCAGAGCAGGGGTTTTTTTTGGTTACCACTCAGGATTTATTGTCAGAGGTGGGAGAAGTTCAGACAATTAAAAAAAGTTACAATCAGGGTTCCCGCGGGGTCTTAACAAGTCTTAAAAAGGTCTTGAATATGATTCAGAAGGTCTTAAAAATTATCGGATTTGAAAGGTACTTCTATGTTGCGATAGCGTCTAAATGTGTTTTGGGGGAAATGTCCGGGCTGCAAAGTAACCAGTACGGTAATAGCCTTTCAGTTCCCCCCAACAATTTGTATTGAATTAAATCAACATGGAACCAGTAATCACTAACTTTTTTCCCCCGGTATGGAAGCAAACAAGAGACAGAAGTATTTGAATTTTATTAGACACCGAATTTATAGCATTGAAAATAATTACTTTGAAAATCATGTATCTGAATGTTTTTGCTCCGAATTTACCGATGTGAAATAAAAATGTAAAAATTCAAGTGAAAAAAATTCGAATGTTCAAATTCAGATCCCAAAAATTAAAGTGAAAAAAATTCGAAGTCAAAAAATTCGGTGTATAAAATTCGATGTCCAAAATTGCGATGCAGCATCATCCGGGCTACTCAGACAGGATAAGCAATCGAGCCCTAATGCAATCAAACCGACTTCTGGCCTATCAGAGCACGGCTTTGTCAGTCATGTGATCACAACAACCCGGGAGAAAAATGACGGAGAACAGCGGGGCTCGCCGCTCGGGTAAGTAGTCAGTTTGTGCTCTTTATTTTACTTGCTCGACAGCATTTGTATCTTACATTAGCTAGCTAAATGAGTGAAATAGCCTTGTGCCTTGCTGTTAGCAAGCTCCGTAGTTATCATTAATTGAAGTGAATCACGTTACCGTGTGTGTGTGGGGGGGTGACGGTTTGCAAAGTAACGTAACGATCACTTCGGTTAGATAAGTCAAGTAGACCATGCTACACTATACGAAATACACTCTTACAAAAGCCCTGCATTTAAACATGTTAATGTTACTTTAGTAAAAGTATGCTAGTACAATTAGGAAAGTGTTGTTAAAGTATTTAAAGTAGACACAAGTTATACTATTATATGATATCATTTGATTTATTGTTATTACCGATGCACGAGTTGACTTAACTGTTGTAGTTGGAGCTCATTTTGAACAATGAGCTAACTAATTATTAATTTCATAATGGTTTAATGTGCTGACTATTTTCTACATTAATAGATTAAGGTCTGGTTTGTTCAAAGTCTCAAAATAGTAGGACATGCTGTCATAATTACCCAGAGTCCGAAGTGACACCTTTACAATGTTAAAGCTGTTGGATAAATGTAGTGACGTAAAAACTAAAGTATTCAAGATAGTGTAGTGGAAAATAGATAATGTTTGTTTTTTTAAACGTTACCAAAACAAAATCTCTTGTTTTGGACTGACAGTAATGAGTCAAGAAATAGTAAATAAATAAATACACATCAATTTGTTGTGGATGGAACACAACAAATGGTACTCTTACCTGTGATGCCTCCTCCAAACATTATAACCAGACTGTATCATTAAAACTATAAGTAACAGTTCTAGCTACTTGACTTCAGACAAACAATTCAAAAGACAAAATCAACACAATTTATTGAAAGACCAATCTTTATTTCTCTCCTTTTGTTTGTGTTATTAAACCCTGTCAATCTAAAAAACTGAGCAACTCAACAGTTAACTTTATATTTCTTATTGTCCAAAGCATCTATTACACTATTTGTTGCCCTCTCATATTCACAGGATGGATGATTAGAGACTTTGGGGTAAACCTCAGCTTTATGACCGTCCTGTCTGTTGGTTTGGCCGGAGAGGGCTGAGGGTCTTTCCCTGCGAGGAGGACCAGGCCTGAGGGAGGAGGACCTGCACCAGCTGCACCTACAGAACTTAGCCCATGCTGGGCATAGCTGTTACCACCTGCACAGGCCTGTCAATTAACAGATTAACATTGAGTGTAACTTATGTATATTATTTCGTTTTTATTTAAAAAAAAAAATGGTGATGGTTCATGCTTGATAACTTTTAGTTCACATTTCAATAAATTGTATTTGCACTCCTTTTGTCCGTTATTCTTACTGAAAATGTTAAATTACACATTCACATCTGAATGAAGATTGGCACCATTTATTTGTGACGTTGCAAACTCGGCGGTACAAGGCACAAGTATTGTGAAGCTCTTAAAGTGAGGCAAATGCATTTGATCAGCTGACTTTTATCACATCAGCTTCTCCTTTCCCTCTTGGATGTTCTTCTGGACCCTCAGAGAAATGGTGAAGCAGTCCTGTCTCTCAGGCGTGTCCTTTCCTAACAGAAATATCAAGAAACATATTATTGCAGAGCAAGTGTGTTATTTAAGAAAGAGGTGTGTTTGTTTGTTCATAAATATAATGATTTTCTTATTTTAAATGTGTTTTTTTAAATCCAACAGTGTACTACAAAGATAATCAGATTATGAATAAACCGTTCTAAATTCATCAACATTGAAATAAATGTATTATTCAAATAATATTTAACTGTTATCAAAACTTAGTGCAACTGTAGAAGCTTGCTCTGTCCGGTTGTCTCACTGAAAGACAAAGGGTCGCAGCTCTCACTATGTTCAATAATATTTGCCTTAAATACATTGAAATGTGAAAGTTGAACAAAAAAGTGATGTTGCTTGGTTAAAGGTAACCTTTAGCTAAGAAAGTCCACTCAACATCACTGATGTGCAGGTGATCTAGTATTCAGTCATGTTTAATGGCATGTATATCAGTGTATTAGAGTCATTACTTTATGCATTCTTTGTAAAGTATGAAAAAGGTATATGCACCTTGGAATCCGTGCTGAAGTTCTCTGCTGCTAGGAGTCCAGGTCTGTCTCTCCTCCTCTGGTCCAGATCTGTCTCTCCTCCTCTGGTCCAGCCTGTCTGGATCACCTTGAGGACACTTTGAACAAACAGATGTAAAGTTACATGCGTGGCTTACAGACTTCTTTACATGCAAACTACTTTTTATCTTCTTTTAAAAACAGATCATAATCTTATTGTTATACTTAAGAAATTGCTGGATATCACAGTCCTTATACTGTATCAGTTTGATTGAGTATTATTGTGTAGGTCCTTTTTATTTTACTGTTACTTTGGATGAGGTTTTCATGAGTCAGTCAAATTAATTTGTTTTCATATGCCATATTCATATGTATCACACACGTATGGGTAAGACACAAACCTATTGAACAAATGCAATGCAATGGATAAGCTTAATTTCCACTGAAGTCACAGATAACGTCATATCTACTATTTAAACATAATTTCCTTGTCACTAAAGCATTGACTACGCTATTCATCGTCCTTAAATGCAGGCATTAAGTTACATGTTCTGTTCTACAGCCACGATAAGGCTGTTTCTCAAGTGTGAGGATAATACAATTAAAAGAGGCATTGGTAATAATATTAAAAACAACAATGTTTGGGTCGTTCGTCGGATAGGCGGTTAGCTGCAATAAATAACTCCAGTTCAACAAACCATATTATAATATCTAAGAGAGCGTTATTTCTGGACCATCTTGAAATGTGACGTTCATATTTTAAAGATACACACATTTCATTGTGAGGTTGATTTAATATACACTAAGCCTCTCTTCAACAATACGTTGACGTTAGCTAGTATATTTTATGCTATAGTAGAGCATAGCGAATTTAAATGAACCTTAACAATGTATACAGTAACCTAACTAGCAAACTAACTATCTAACGTACAAGGATGACCTTATTTTAGCAACCTCGCACAGAAGCCTTTTGGTATACAGTAGCATCCCACTTAATGTTTTACACTCTTGGATGCTACGCATAGCATCGTTAGCACAGATGGAGCTACGATTGCTCAAATGCTAACCCAACTCTAAACATTCATTAACGTTAGCTTAATAAAAACACCAGTAACATAACATAAAGTACGCAGGGTTGACTTACCGAAGAAACTGCATTCATGGACGGTCTGTTTCAACCGCAGATAAATCCTATATTTGCATGACGAATAGTCCACCAGGAACCAACACAACAAACACGGCCGAGTTCAATTAGTGTTCTCCTCATGAGCTGAGCCGCTGTAGCATCACGGAGCCAATGGAGCTAACTGAGCTAGCAGAGAGGAGCTAGGAGCAGCAGTCCCGTTGTCATGAAGGGGGAATCTAACTATATACAGAATATGTTTTTGTAGATCCAGGCTAGAAACATGTTCATTTTCTGATGTTAAGTTGGACATTTTAACAAAGGGTCTACGGGAATTGCTCCCATCTGCATCCATCGCCTACAGTTTGCAGCATTGGGCTTCACCGCACTGTCCCGGGGTTTGCCGCTTGGCTCTGATAGGCCAGAAGTCGGTTTGATTGCATTCGGACTCGATTGCTTATCCTGTCTGAGTAGCCCGGATGAGGCTGCATCGCAATTTTTGACGTCGAATTGTATACACCGAAATATTTGACATCGAATTTTAAACACCGAAATATTTGACGTCGAATTTTTTTCACTTGAATTTTTGGGATCTGAATTTGAACATTCGAATTTTTTTAACTTGAATTTTTACATTTTTATTTCACATCGGTAAACTCGGAGCAAAAACATTCGTATACATGATTTTCAAAGTAATTCTTTTCAATGCTATAAATTCGGTGTCTAATAAAATTCAAATACTTCTGTCTCTTGTTTGCTTCCATACCCGGCCCCTTATTGGAGAACACCCAGCTAGTAACCTAGCAACCAAGCTTCAGCTCATGTAGCCTATCTTCGAATCTACTTACAAATAAATATGGGGAAGTGTAAGTTCAACCGTATTTGGTTAGAAAACATCTAATTTAGTGCTTGGTTGAAACCAGTGGAGGGAACGTGTTTGAAGCCCGCTGCATCTTTTGCAAAAGAAATTAGTGTTTGTTTTGTTAATGTAGCGTTAGCTAGTGCAGCAGCAGCTAATGCAGCGTTAGCTAGTGCAGCAGCTCCCGCAAACAACACCGGGGACCTCCGGGGCGAAGTTTGGGCCTACGTCAACCCTAAAAAGCGGAGGGTGCTGTAGACGCTAAATACCGTAGCTAAACACCAATCATACAACAGCAACGATGAAATAGGGTAGCCAAGGCAGCAGAGCTGCGGAATAGTAGCGCGTGGTCACACACACACACACACACACACACACCACACACACACACACACACACACACACACACACACACACACACACACACACACAACACACCACACACACACACACACACACACCACACACACACACACACACACACACACACACACACACACACACACACCACACACACACACACACACACACACACACACACACACCCACACACACACACACACACACACACACACACACACACACACACACACACACACACACACACACACACACACACACACACACACCACACACACACACACACACACACACACACACACACACACACACACACACACACACACACACACACACACACTAGGGCTGCTCGATTATAGCAATAATCAAGATTATGTTGGTCAATAATTAATATCACGATTATTAAATATGATTATTCATTCACTTTGAAAACATCCATTTATTGAACTTTAATACAAATAATAATTTGAACAGTATCTTTTTAACTGTTGATTACCCTGAACGTATAATTCAACTGAAAAAACAATTCTAAAATGTATTAAATAAATGATACATTACTAAAAAATTCATTAGATCAAATATGTTGTAGTGCACTGTCACAACCTAGCAAAGCAAAATAATCGTTTTATCCGATTATGTTGTTTTCGTAATTGTGGCAGGCCAAAATCGTAATTGCGATTAAAATATGATTAATTGCACAGTCCACACACACCCACACACCCACACACACACACACTCAAGCACACACAGACACACACACACACTTTTTGTCTCACACGCTAACACAGTTCTGTACTGTTACGCTGTTGTGTTCAGTCATTGTTCTTATGTTGAACATGAATACATTTACTTTGTAAGTGATTATGGGACGTATTTCTTCTTTATATACATTTTCCTTCATACTTTATTGCCGTGAAATAGGTCTTAAATTCTATTCAAAGTGGTCTTAAAAAGGTGTTAAAAAGTCTTAAATTTGAGTTGGCGAAACCTGCAGGAACCCTGTACAATAAAAAGTCCTGCATCCAAAATGTTACAAGTAAAAGTACAAAAGTATTAGCATCAAAATATACTTAAAGTACCACCTGCAGAGGGATCTAGATGCAGGTGTTCTTTTCCCCATAGAGACGCCTCGCTGCACATTATCCCTTGCATAAAGATAGATTGTGGGTCCCTTATAACATGTTGTACACAGTGGAAATAAACATTCGGGTTACCTCAACATCAGGGATCTTATACATTAAACTCCTTCTGAATCAAACCGTCACGGTAGCCTTACCTTACTGATCCCTCTTAAATTAGAAAAACACACGTTACTTTACCAGCAGAGAGAAAATGGATTATTAAATGATTAATGTGACTAATAAAGAGCAGTTTGATTATTAAGTATTATTCTGTTGATCGATGTCATTACATTTGGTGAAAAACACATAATGACTTGTTTATGACTTGTTTTGTCAAAGTTTAGGACTTGACTTGACTTGAACTTGCCCATCCTGACTTGAGACTTGACTCGGACTTGCAAAACAATAACTTGGTCCCACCTCTGACGGGTAGTACCACGTCTTCAATAATTCCCTGAAGGATCGTTCTCAGGTCAGAGAGCTGCTCGACAAGATCAGAAATATAGCAGAGAAGAACGGAGGAAGCCATTACACCAATGAAATGTTCCAAAAGGCAGAGAGGGCCATAGTAGTGGTGAAACAGAGAATCCTTACAGAGAGAGAAGAGGAAATGCGCTTAGAGCGGGAGGAAATGGAGAAGGAAATATTGGATAAGTATGAGAAACAAATGAAGGAAATGAAAGATGACAGAGAGAGAGGTCGAAAAAGCTACTTAAAACTTGTGAAAGAGAAATGGAGCGCCAGACAGGAAGCTGAGAACAGCCCTTTAATAATATTTTTTTATGAATGGCGTAATTAAAGCATTTAAATCCTTTATAGGTTGGCGTGAGACGGCAGCAGAATTAGGAATCCTTTTTAATGAATGTTCACCATCCCCCTTTTTGAATTTCAATGTGTGATTTAAAGTTTCTCAGTTATATCAGGGGTGAGTTGCGACCAAATACTAAACAGTGTCACAGCAGGGACGTGCACAGGTACGGGCTATTGTTGCCCGGGCAACAGCCCGTTTTTCCTTTTTGGCTGACCTGCCCCTCTTGTCTGCTCCATCATTCACCAGTAGTTTTCCATTCACCTGTCTCACCTGTTTTCCACACCCACTCGTTAGCTCACTCTCTTTCTCTTCTGCACCCATTAGCTTCTGCCAGTATTTAAACCTGCACCTTACATACACTCTTTGCCAGATTGTACTTTGCCTCATGCTTGTCTTTCCCGCGTTTGATACCAGATTGCCTACCCGGTTCCGACCCTGCCTGTCCTCGATCTGCCTGCTCTGCCTGTTCTGCCTGTTCCCTGATCCTGTCTGTATCTACGCTGACCGCCTCGCTTACTCCCTGACTCTCTGCCTGTCCCTGACTCACCTTCTGCCCGCTGTCCTCCGGTGCGTTAAACTGCTCGGTTGGTATTCCTCAGATCCAGTGGAATCTCCAATAAAGTTTATTACCAATTCCCCTTGGTTTCTCGAGTGCTGCATTTGGGTTCTCCTTAAGATTGTGACACCTCTGGAGAGAGCGAGAGTTTTTTTTCTTTCTGTTGTGACCGAATAAACATGATAAGCCCACAATTAGTATTGTAGCGTCTCGCTGCGATAAAACACACCTTGTCAGCGCTGTCATCTGCCCCCAGTCACGTGACTTTGTTTACAATCTGACAGCTGAAAGTAAAGGAAACCCCTCCGGCCTCATATGGCTATTGTGATCATACCAAATGCCTGCCTGGCTTTGGTGGCCAATCCCCGGGTCAATCTGTCCCCGGAAATGTCCTCGTTTTTAAATATGCTTATATTGATTTTGAGTTCTTTCATGGCAGTTAGAGTATAGGGGACAAACCAGGGGACTTTACTTGCTCTTGACACTGTCGGTTATAACTGGCTTTTCCAGTTTAGAGCAATAGCCCCTCCAAATGTCTGTGCACGTCCCTGTGTCACAGAATGTCAAGAACAAAGATGTTAATATGGCAAAGTGGTGTTATTAATCTGATTTCAACTGAACAATGTTTTTCAGATGTTGTGTTTTCTTTGTTTGATTGCTTTTTCTTTTACTATGGGAAAAAGAAGAAAGAAGGTTTTGTACTTTAACTTCCTCCTCCCCCGTTGGTGTGAATGAGGTAAATGTGTTGGTTATGCAGATCTCTCTGAAATGTAGTAAGTAAAGCCATAAGACATGGGGAAAGCTGGATAGGGAAAGTTGTGTGTCTGCGTTCAACGGTTTAAACAGATAGTACTTTTTTAGGGCTAAGGGCTGCATTTAGACGCACAAAACGTGGCACATGCATACACTTAGTTCACTGATATGGTTATATTTAGTCAGTTAGGCAAGGTGGCTCGATAGCTCCCTACACACATCTTTAACAAAGCTCTTGCTCTACATTTCACCTGTAGATGTACAATATTTAGGTATTTTTAACTTAATTTCAGTACCTTTTTAAGACCATAACGATGGCAGCCAAATTAGACACTCCATGAAACAGGAAGTTGTTGTAACTTAAATTGTACAGTCTCCAAACTACCAATGTTGCGTGCTTGATAAGTCATAGCTGTTACGATTCGGGAAAAGGTAGTTTAAAAAGGGAAGCGGGTTTCAAAATGAAACAAAAAGCGAGCTTTATTACAAAAAACAAGCTGTTGCCAATGTAAAGAACTTAACAAAAACCATGAATCCAAAGAGTAGGTAACACGAGGTAGCATCCAGACAAAACTGACCATGACAACATGAAGGGTCAGGGTCGGCGTCATGGGGGGGGTCATTCACGGGCCATGCCCCCCCAAATGAGTCACTGTGCCCCCCAACGCAGGGTGGGCAAGCCTTGCCACTTTGCCATTTTTATTTTTTAATCATATAAGTGAAAACGTTTCCACTAAAGGTTTTTTGTGTGAAATACATCATAAATAAAGAATACACACATAAAACACAGCCTGAGGTGTGCTCACTGCTGCTCTCTGATTGGTGTGTTGCTTGACCAATGACCTTTGTTTTGTTATCATTATGTGGCTGCGTGTTTAGATGAAAGCCCGGGGGCGATCTGTTCATCTGTTACACTGATTATACAGTAAAGCCATCGAACATAATATGATATACAGTACAAGTAGCCTACTTCTGGGTCTCTGTGTTTCATTCAAGCTCGGCTCTGTGTGTGTGTGGCACGAGCGCATTTTGTGAGTGCGCGAGCGGTAACGTGGAATGTTGTTGTTAGCATCTGGTTAGCTAGCTATGCTAACGGATAAAAAGAGCTGTTTCTACACCAAGGTGGAGGAGAGTCCTCTCTTGTCAGACTGAGAGGATCTTATAACCTCAGCTCAGTGAGGTAAGGACTCTCTCAGTGTTTAGATAGTTAACGTTAGTGTAGGTTATCTCAGTGGGTCTCAAACGGTTTGGTCACCATTTATGTAAACAAGTATTTGCGAGGAACACCTTTATATGATCATTATAGTTATTAAAGAATAAGAGAATAAATGAAACGGGTATGAAATACTATAGGACAGTAACACAAGAATACAGTTTAAAAGGGGAGTGATTAGTAAAATATCCATAAAGAAAAAGTAAATCTGTTTACAGTTCTGTTTCATATGGATGCTGAGAGATGTATCCATAGATCTCTTCACGTTGCTCTCAAAGTGCACCAGATTGATGCTTTTAACTTCAATATTTTAAAAATAATCTCCCCGGGGGAGCATGCCCCCAGACCCCCCTAGAGGAGGTTAGGGCCACCCCCACCTAAAACATGTTATAAATACATTTGCACACTTTTTATATGGTGGCCTATTTCCATATATTTCTGTTTTGGTGGTCGTGCCACAACCGTGCATGTCTGCACAAGTCATAGGTGCGCTATACCATAGCACTACACCCTGCAATGTGTGTGAAAGACAATAGACTTTACAGCATGTTTTTTTAAATTGAAGTTGTGTTGGTGTTTGTGTGTTGGTTGTTGATGGCAGTGTGTGCCCCGCCTTGGTAAATGATTCCCCCCCCCATTTGATTTGTTCTAGAGCCGACCCTGTGAAGGGTGACAGGAAAGACAATGAACCGACAAGGAGCACAGGGGAAGACAAGACTAAATACAAAGAAGGGTAATCACAGGACAAGACACAGCTGGGCAGGGGAGGCAGAAACACAAGGGCAACAGGTGAACACAATCAGACAATCAGACACATGAGGGAAAACACAGGAAGGAAGACAAGACACAGGGAGAACAGAATTTCAACATAAAATCCTGACAAGACAGACAACTAAGATGTGAGAGAAAACTAGGATTGTGACAGTTAATGTTTTGCTTTTCTCTAGGTTGTATAGATACGAATGGTTTTATATCATGTTTAATCATGTTTTATGCCATTTGCCAGGACTTGATAAATCGCTCATAAAACACAGGAGGCATGTAAACTAAGAACAACATATATTTGGTAAATTGTGCAGCTGATATAACACAAAACATTTGTTTTATTTCCTTTAAGTGGTGGATAGAGTTGCTGCGGGGGGGTTGAGACGCACAGGCTGCAGTGGAGACGCTGTTACAGATATGGGCATCTGTTAATGCCTGTTATATAGTGACGCCTGTTGGCGCTTGAGTAAACTGCATTCTGACACAGGCTTACACTGTGATGTACTATATCCGCAAGCACGGGAATATACATGTGATGGAGTTGTGAGTTACGGAGTAAAGCTGCAGACTGGAACATGGTGTCAGAAGTGGTCTTCTTGGACTAAAAGCTCAGGAAAACTCACGTCATTACGACAAACAGTATTCCGGCACCCGAGGGCATGCATACATATGTCTGGTGATATAGCCCAAAACTGGGAGGTTTTTAGAGCAGTATTTGAGGACTTTTTGATCGCTACAGGTCTGACCGAAAAGACAAATGCGGTGCAGGCAGCCACGCTGAGACGGCTAACCCCCAAAACACACCAGGAGCGTCTGCGTCGTGTTACGGCCGCGCCGCGGCGGTCGTAAGGATCGCGGCCACTCTAGTCAATGGGTGCTATTACACCACACGCGCCGTGTTACGGCTCAGACGCGTCCCAGAAGCGGCTCGGCGCAGCGCTTCTCTAAAATTAGGATGAATCCTATTTTTTCCGCGGCGCAGCCGTAAGGTAAAGTCGGGCAGGCAGCCCCCCCTTCGCAGGAAGTGGAAAGGTGAGCATCCGGGCCAGGCCCATCCCCCGTAGTCTTTCAAGTAGGAGAATACATGCCAGCGTTCTCCTCCGGTTTACAGGCACTGTAAATGATATATAGAATAATTATGATGATGAATGCATATTTTTTTACCACTAAAATACAGCAACACATCTTTGATTCATGTCGTTTATAACTGGAATATTACAATTATTATTAACTGTGTCTGTAGTCTACAACACAACAAAATAGGAAATAACAACAATAAACACGATTTAAACGGACACAAACATAAACCATTTAACTACGTATAGCCTACTTACTTGTAGAAGTACAAATGTCCAGGAAATATTCCAAAATCAACTGCGAGGCTGCACACACGACGCTCCGCTTCCGCAACGTTTTGAAACGCGTCTGGTGTGTGTTGTCGCAGGAGGAGGTCGCAGCGTGGCGCAGCCGCAACGTAACGCGGCGCAGACGCTCCTGGTGTGTTTTGGGGGTTATGGGGAACGAGTGCCGGCATATATGGTCACGCTGACCGAGGAACAAAAGAAAGACCCCGAAACTATTTTGGATGCGTTGGGGGATTATTTGAAGCCGGCAAAAAACGTGATTTATGAGAGATACACGTTTGGATGCTGCAAACAAGGACCAGACGAGCCGATCGATAGCTTTATAACAAAGCTGAGGGAAAAAGCATCTTCATGTGAGTAACGTGACCTGAAAGATGAACTGATTAGGGACAGGCTGGTGAACAGGACCTAACGCTGCCAACAGCTGTGGAGATTTGCCGCCTTGCAGAATTGACGGAGTCACGCATGAGGCTTATTGAGAGCCCGCAGGCACAGGCGGACAGTATTAATGCTATGGTGGACAGGCAAGGCGGACAACGCAAAACACAGTGGAAAACAGCGGAAAGAAACACAGCGGCTGAGAGAGAGCAGCAGTGGACCTGCAAATACTGTGGAAATGGACACAAACGGGGCAGAGAGCAGTGCCCAGCCTATGGTAAGACCTGCCGAGCATGTGGCGTTTCAAATCACTTTGCAAAAGTATTTCAGGCCAGCAGCAGAGCAGAGAAAAGTTAATGTTGTTGACGATGTCCAGCAAACTGAAGGGGACTCAGATACAAGTGAAAACCTATACAATGTCACTGAATATGTGGGGAATGTGAAAGCACCTGGACGAAAATGGTTTGTGCACCTACACCTGAATAAGAAAAGACAGCTATGCCAGCTAGATACAGGGGCCACTTGCAATGTCATGGGCCGCCAGTTTAAAGAGAAACTGTCACCAAAGACAGCCTTACAGCCGACCAGAACAAGGCTAAAGCTGTACTCTGACACATACATGCCATCCCTGGGGACATTTCACACTGACTGTGGGGTCAGGGGGAAAACACACAGACTTGTGTTTGAGATAGTGAACACCAAACAAAAGCCCCTGCTCGGTGGTGCTGCATGCACTGATCTGGGCCTTGTGAAATTCACTATTCCAAGAGAACTACTTCCAGCGGAGGTGAACACTATTGATGCTAGCCAGTCTATGCCACTCACAAAAGAAATGCTACTGAAAGACTTTCATGATGTTTTCCATGACCCGATCGAGTCAGTCCCAGGTAATATTCATTTCGATCTGAACCCTGAAGTGACACCAGTCCAGTGCTCACCACGAAATGTCCCTGTAGCGCTAAAAGCCCGGGTTAATAAAGATCTGGACAAACATGTGAAAGCAGGCAACATTACGCCAGTGACAGAGCCAACAGCGTGGATAAGCAACATGGTGACAGTAGCTAAACCGGACAAGATAAGATATTCTGCTCTCGCAAGAATACTTTTCGGATTGCAGGCTTGGCAGATAGCTTAACACGGAAATAAACACCCAGGAGACAGCAGCTCAGTTTTGCATGTTTACTGATTAAGTTCCATTTTCCTTTCCATTTTCCTTTCCATTTTGTAAAACTGAAATACAAACAAAACCCAAAGTCATAAAACGTTGTCACATTAAACACTAAATAAACAAAGAAACAAGACTAAAACAAACATTCCAAACAACAGAGTACCTGTTAGCATAAATGCTACAAACATTTCCACTGCTGTTCACAGGCTAACAAGTTTAGCATCATTCATTGTTCTTCATGTTTGCATATAATCAATTTAAATGTGCAACTAAGTATACACAGACAATATATGGAATGGTACTTACAGACATAAAGACCCTAGGATTTGAGCAAGGATTTAGTTGACAGGAAACAACCCATGTGCTCCATAGACAGCCAGAAACAGGAAACCACGGCAAGCATTTATGGACACACAGTGCAAAACCCAAAACCCTTTGCAGGCCCTCTTAAAGGGGCAGCACATAAGAATCTGCATTGACCCAAAGCCTCTCAATCAGGCACTTCTCAGGTCCTATTACCACATGCCAACGCTAGAAGACGTCTTGTACAAACTGCCCAAGGCTCGTGTCTTCACACTGGTTGATGCTCGTGACGCATTTCTCCAGTGCAAGCTTGATGAGGAAAGCAGGCGCTTGACGACATTCTGGACGCCATGGGGTCAGATGAGATGGCTCAAACTCCCGTTTGGAGTCTCAGTGGCGCCAGACATCTATCAGCGCAAGCAACATGAGCTGCTATCAGGCCTGGCTGGCATCGAGCCTATTGCGGATGACATCCTGGTGGTCGGGTGTGGCGATACGGACGCAGAGGCTGAAGAGGACCACAACATCAACTTAAGAGCTCTCATGCAACGGTGCAGGGCTGTGAAGCTCAGATTGAGTGAACGCAAGCTGCAGTTCAAGCTCAAAGCTGTACATTTCCACGGCCATGTACTGTCTACAGAAGGACTGAAAATCGACCCAGAGAAAACTCAAGCAGTGTTGGACATGCCGACGCCCACGGATGCTAAGGCAGTGCAACGCATGATCGGGTTTGTGACATATCTGGCTAAGTTCCTGCCAAGGCTATCGGAGATCTGTGAGCCTCTTCACAGAGACCAGACTCCTGGATAAGGACACAGCATGGCACTGGCTGCCAAAACACGATGATGCAATACGCGAGATAAAGCGGATGGTCACCAACACGCCGGTTCTCAAATATTATGACGTCACAAAGCCTGTAACGATCCAGAGTGATGCCAGCATGAATGGACTGGGGTGCTGCTTGCTGTAAAAGGGGCAGCCCATAGCCTTTTCCTCACGCGCACTGACACGGACTGAGCAAAACTACGCTCAAATAGAGAAAGAGTGCTTAAGCATAGTTTTTGCATGCCAGAGATTTCACCAGTACCTATACGGCAGGGACACAATCACTGCAGAAACAGACCACAAACCACTGATCACCATCTTTAAGAAGCCCCTCATGAGTGCGCCTAAACGCCTTCAGGGCATGTTACTGCAGCTCCAGGGGTACAATCTGGATGTTGTTTACAAACCAGACACGGAGATGTATGTCAGTGACACTCTAAGCAGAGCCACTCCACCGTGTCGTGGTTCTGACACCCCCTGTGTACGACAGGCGGTGTGTTCCATGGAGAGCTTTCAGGCGGAGGACTCAGAGCTGGATCAGGCACAGCATCTGGATGTTACTGACTTCAGGTTTCGCCAAATTGCCCAGCACACAGAGATGGACGATGTATTACAAGCTTTGACATCAGTAATCCTCAGGGGATGGCCTGATTTCAAAGAGGACACCCCCCCTCTTGGTGCGAGAATACTGGCCCTTAAGGGATGAGCTCAACAGAGGGCAGTGCGTTGTTATCCCTAAGGCCTTGAGGGCAGAGATGTTAAGACGCATACACACCAGCCACATCGGGGGGGAGGCATGTTACAGGCGCGCCAGGGATACGCTGGGAGAGATATTTTCTCCCACGTTACGTTTGTTATGAACAAATGGACTCAAATGGACTTTTATGTAATGGAACTCAAGGATGTCAATAAAATATTGTAACTCAGTCTGTGGTTTCCTGTATTTGAAATCAGTGTGTGGCGGTGTACCTGTACAGTTACATTGTGGGGCCCATGAGTACTCAGTCACATCCCTACAATGTAAATGATTACGTTAAAGTTTAAAGACTTAATTAACCCCTGTGTTCTGTTCACATGTTGCACTCTTTGGTACTGTTCAGCTCAAATTGATCCGAGCCAGTCTGTGTACAAACATACAGACTTTTAAATGAACATACACAATCCCTAATATAGGTTGACTATATCTCAGTCTTACAACATATATTATTTATGTTTAATGTTTGCAAATACTTTCTGAGGACTCAATCCCTAATCAGAGTATCATGGCCTCAGACAAAGAGATGCTGATCAACAGAGACTACGAGCTGCAATTCAAAGGCATGGCTTCACTCTGTACGTGCAGGTTTTTTATGGGATTTAGAAGAACAGAGGGCATTTCTTGTAAATGCTGAAGGGAGGGGGGAGCAGAGTTTACTGAGGGCAGTTATCTAAAAGTGAAAGGAAAATACATTCTAATGGGAAATGTAAGGGTATCAATCATTTGAGACCCTGAATAAGAGGTTGAATTAAATCATATCACAAGAACGTGAAAGCCTAGAGGGGAAAGAAAAGGAAGTAAATAAATGAACATGGTCAGTTGAATCACTATTATGTTGTATGCTGAATCAGCGTCAATGTTTCTTTTGAACTTCAGACTGTGATGTCAGTGTGTGTGGGTGTGGTTTGCTTCATGCAGTCTGTGTTTAAGGAGCTGTTGCTGCAGACTAACTTCACTTCCTCAGCTCAGCAGCAGACCAGCTCCTCCCTCCAGAACCAACTATGGCCAGCAAACTTGCCCAAAATGGCAAGTGAATAAACTGTACTGTTAATGATGATTGCAATTTATCTCAATATATATTCATAGATGGATATGTAGCTTGATATATTTCCTAATAATGAACAGATCAAAACAGTTAATACAAAATTAATATTTCTTATATTCCAAGCATTTTAAGAGCCTGGGTGATTTTGAGAATGCGACACAGCTTTTACTTGCTTGTATTACATTCTTCACAAGACTACATATTGAGGGGTAGCCAGTACGAAGTTTGTTTGGGCTCCTGATTATAACTAAAGGCAACTTATATACTTAAAAGTTTTTTAGGCCCAAAATGGGGTAATTTGTAGAAGTATGAAAGATCGAAACTAAACATGTTGTAAGGACTATCTGTCAAAAATGTTTTCTAATTAAAATAAACGTACAGCTAGAGGCCACTGCTGCACCATGTCAGTTCAGGTTGTACACAGGCAGTTAAGAAGTCAAACATCCAGGCAAGATTACAATTTATTTTGATTTTAATTTCCAGTATTTGTGTTCATCATGATTGACCAACATGTTCTCACTCCCAACCCGTCACATGTTGACGGTCGGTCAGGGCCCCTCCCCGTCACTCTATTACGTACAGGGTACCCCTTGGAAGTCAGTTTTCAACGAGCAGGGCTTCCCATTGACTTGCATAGAGCTCCCTGAACGTTGGTAATAGAGGAGTTGGGATCGCGGCGAAATGCTCTCCGCAGATCTATTCTCACAGCGTTTATCAACCTTTTTCTTGCTCAATATCAAGCCACACTTATTGTGTTTACTTCTTTATTTTAATGTAATAATGTAGGACTTTTGTTGCCGTCAGTTATGGGGAGAATAGGGGCTCAGAATACTGAAATCTGTATTGTTTCATTGTTTTTTCCTTCTAATATTGTATTATTTTCTAAACCACACACTGTTATTTACTCAACAATAACACACGATTATCCTTGTGTTTATTTATTTGTTTGATAAATAAACACAAGTTGGAGTCCGTCAGGACCGAGGGTCGGAGCAGCTCATAGTAGTTGCTTTAGAGAATATTACACCCGGAAGTAAGTATTCTCTACGCTTCGCTTGACAAACCCTGTGATAGTCCTCAAGCTCTGTGATTGGATGTTTGAGTGTGCGCTGAGGGTTACGCCGAACGTCGAACAACACTTTGAAATGGGATGGAACCACGGCAGACTGTCCAAAACTGGATTTGAACGGGTCCACCCCGTCCCCCCCCCCTCCCCCACCCCATCCCCAGAACTACACATGCTGGCTATTGTGTGTTTTGCAACATGCCCTATGGCACGTCTCTACTGGGAATTGTAGTTTTAAAAGACGTTTTCGTATTTCCCATTATAAGAAGTTGCCAGTATTGAACTGTGTACATCCCTGGAGGTTTAGGGGATAGGAAACACTCACATTTAAAACATATAACTAATAAATGGGTGAAAATTGCTTGTGCCCATAATGGGCAGCATTAATATATACCCACATGCCAGCTAAGGTCAGAAGAGCTTTATTTAACAGCTCTTATGTTTGTGACCCCTCCTGTTCATTGATAAGCCTGAAACATGCACAAGGTTCAGAGACAAATATGGCATAGCCATCGATCATCTTACATTACATTACATTGCATTTAGCTGAGGCTTTTATCCAAAGCGACTTACAATAAGTGCATTCGACCAACAAGATACAAACTTGAAGAAAACAGAATCATATAAGTACATCAGGTTTCATAGAGCTCAAACATTTCAAGTGCTACTCAACTGGCTTTAGATAAGCCAGTCCTTTATTAGTATGTAAGTGCTTTGTTAGTAATTCTGTCGCTCGAAGTGGAGTCGAAAGAGATGAGATATACTTTATTGATCCTAAGTTGGAAACATTTGCGTTACATCAGCATGTGTAACAGTTGTAAATATGCAGTGGTGTTTATTTGTAAATCATTTAGTATAATCACACAAATTCTGTGTTTTATATTTAATAATTCTGTGTTCTTTATTTATTGATTGTTCAATACCTGACTCGGCCGGAGATGAAAAACTTTGGTCGCAGGTTCCTCAACAGTGCATTACAAGACATCTATCAATATGTGTGTATACCTCCACCATTAAACTGTCATATTCTGCACATTTCTTATACTATCTACATACATCTTATAAGAGTATAATACAAATGTATAATATCAGTTAAAATAAGTGCTTCAACATACAGCAAGTTAACATTGCAGGAAAGCAATATATTAGTACTTTGTCAGGCTTAATATTTATACCCCCAAAGCTTTTTTCTTATTCTAAATAAGACCTTAACCTAAAGTATTCTTTAATGTTTAAATAAAGCCTTATTAGTTTGTCTGTCTGTGTCTCCTATTAATATCTAATAATAAAAATAATACATTTCAATAACGTGCTTTAACCACCAGGTGTCCCTTTCTATCAGCTGTGCACCGTTATGGTGTAAATATACCAATATACCGATTGAATCAAATATAAAAGTCAGAATTAGTATTGATACTGCAAGGAGACGTATTGTGTGAAGAGAAATTGAAAATGTTGTTTGATTGCTGATATATTTATGATCCACGTCACATATTCAGTTTCGGCGGCAGTTCTTCTTGTTTGTCTAGAAGTCTTCTCACCAGGGCTCTATAAATAGAGAACTACGGCAGATCTGTAATATTTAACGCAGCCGAACCGTGTATTACAATGCCGTTATGTGATGACCTTCAAAGAGAAAAGCAAGCACACTCGGAATAAAGTATTATTTTTTTTTTTAAAAATGTTTTCGGATTTCACATCAACAGGAAGTCCGGTTAACTAAAATGTCCGTGCGCAACAATAACCCAACCTATAGATCCGCGGGTGAATAATAATCACCACATTACACACATCCCTTCACATTTAAATTTACATTTATATTACAGTATTTCGTGAGGCCTTCTAAAATGTTTTAAAATATAATTAGGGCTGTAGTTGAAGAGTTTTTAAATTATTGCGTTGCGCAATCGCATAACGCACGTCCATTAATTCCACAACCACACACATGGATTAACATCGATTTAACACATTAATGTAGCCTTTGTTTCTGCTAAAAGAGGTGTCGACCAGCTGGGGCGACAAGAAAATCGGCGAAATCGAGTGTGACTATTATAAATAAATAAATTATTATTTATATTTATTAATATTGACAATAACAACCGACCGTCGGGGAGCGT